CCCTTCCCCCAATTCCCCAGCACTGTTCCCATCCCGCCAATTCCCCAATAAAAACAAACAAACAAAAAACCAAAAAACTATCTTGCACTTAGTTCCAAACACTGTGAGAAATGCAAAAAGTCAGAGCCACAGAGATTTTGGAGCCAGTGTATTGGCCTATTTTGATTCATTGGTAAGAAACTGAGAAGTGACGCGATGTGCCCAGGTCTCATGGCCAGGAATAGAGGGGACATGAATATGAGTCAGGGCTTCCTGCCACCCTGTTTCTTGCCGTTGGAGGCAGATCCTGGGCACTGCAGAGCACATAGTCCATGCCGTGCACTGTCCCAAGTTCCAACTGTGAATGAGGCATGTGTTCCTCATCTGACACATAGGTGGCCAGGAGCCAGAATAATCGCCCAAACTCACACCACCAGACCGCATGGTGGAGTTGTCTTGCAAGCCTCACCCAGCCCCCAAGGAAATATTTTGCCCAGCTACAGGGCAGGCCTGCTGTGGCTGGCCCTTACCATGAGCTGGACTCGGCCCAGCAGGACCCCTGCGTGCTCTCGTCATCCCCACAAGGACCCCTCAAACATGGGTGTTGATATCACCCCCCCATCGTCGAGTCAAGGAAAGAGAGATCTAGAGAATGAGCATCTGCGCATGGTCAGAGTGCCCCTGGGTTTTCTCCACACTGAGCCCCTGAATCATCCAGTATCTTACCTTGTTAAGAAAGTTTCCATACAAGGCAGTACAGACTGAAAATTCTAATCCAGCCACCATTGCCTGGCCCCTTGGTGACTGAATGCCTCCTTGGCAGTTATGCCTGGTTCTATATTTGTGATATACCACACATTTTATGCTTGGCATTTGCCTGTGAAAGACTGGCTCTCTGTGCAGTGAAGATGAGGATAATGGCAGCTAATTTACCGAGGACTTACTGCTGTGCCAGGCGCTTTCCACCCATTTCTGCTCCTTCTCATGCAGGCCCGGTCTTCTGACCTTCCCCTGGCAGGGGAAGGCGGGAGCTCAGGTATTACCAGGACTCACTCTGCTCAGGAGCAGCACAGGCCAGGCAGGCACTGCCCCCCCCAGGCACAGCTCGGGGTCCGGCGTCCTTCAACTCCTCACCCTGTGCCTGGCCCAGGCCTCTCCTCAGTCCAGCTGGCTTGGACGCTCACCTCCCCACTCTGAGCTTGTAGGGTTATTCTTCACTCTTCCCGCTTACCCCATTTCACCTTCTGTCAGGCACTGCAAAAAAAAAACCCCCGAACCACTCATTTGGAATTTTGTATTTGCATTAGTTTGGAAAAACATTTACTGCGGATCAAGCAGTACCTCAGTAATGGGGGCAAATCCTGTCCCTCACAGTGAAGCACACACACCGAAGCCGGAGCCAACACTGGGCACCACCTTAAACTCCTGGCTTTTCCAGTCTCCTCAGTTTCACAGGTGAAAACAGGTGTGATACACCCTCGCCATGGAAAACACCAACGTGCACAGAGGGAAAAAAAAAATGCACAACCCAGAAATAATCACAGTTCGCATTTGGGTCAGTATATTTCCCATTTTTACTGACCATACACATATACACAATGTATTTTAAAAATGAGCTTTACAATACAGTTTTATCACCTGGTTTACAACTAAATATATTGGGAACATTTTTCTCTTTTACAACAGTTAAAATGATTGCACAGTATGGAGAAAACATAATTTATTAAGCACTCTTGTTGGGGAAATTTAGATATAATTTTTTTTCCCAAGGAGACTTTATTCTCTTTGCAATGTCTTGAGGAAAAAAGGGGTGTCCTTGTCTTTTATAGCTTTCTAATAGATGATAGAAACTTGCCCTTCAACTTTGCTTTTTAACTTGCTTCTCTGTGCTCATCTAATCATCAATCAAGTAATCCATGTTATTGTTTGCAGTCTCTCTCCATTTGCTTACACACACACACACACCCATCGGCTCCTCCAGCATCTGTCCCCTCCACTCTTATTTGTTCTCCTTATAGATGCTTCCTTTTCAAGATATTCTCTTAACTAATTTTGATCCACTCAAAGCTTTATCCTCAGCTCCACATTAGGATTAGCTTTTAACAATCTGAAGATAGAATTCAATTGTTTAAAGAAAAATATCAATAAGAAGCCCTTGGGGGCCGGCCGAGTGGCTCAGTTGGTTAAGAGCTCGCTCAAGAGTTTGAGCTCTGAGCAACAGCGGTTTGATGCCTGGCCTGAGCTGAGCAGCCGCTGAGCTGCCAACAGGTGGCAGGATGGCTCAGCTTAAAAAATAAATAACAACAATAATAATAAGAAGCCCTTGGTAGAGTTATATGTATCAAGAAACAGGACTTGAGCACGATGCAGACATGGCTGAGTACTTTTCTCTTTTAAGTAGTTTTTTGGAGAGGGCAGGGAAGAAGGAAAGCACTTGGTACAGGCAAACCTCATTTATTGCACTTTGCTTTATTTTGCTTCACAGATACTGTGTTTTTTTTACAAATTGGAAGGCAAGACCCTCCACCTGCAAAAAGATGATAACTCACTGAAGGTTCAGATGTTGGTTAGGATTTTTTAGCAATAAACTATTTTAAAAATTAAGTACGTACATTGTTTTTAGATGTAATGCTATTGCACAGTATAGGCTACAGTATAGTGTAAATATAACTTTTATATGCACTCCAAAACAAAAAAATTTGTGTGCTTCGATTTATTGTGATACTCGCTTTATTGCAGTGGTCTGGAACCAAACCTGCAATATCTCTGAGGTGTGCCTGTACTTTAAGGAAATGTTAGGGACCATTATGGAAATCTATTCACTATTTCAAGGCAACTACCAAATGATCATCTCTCAGTTAGGACATTAGAATGCCATCCTTTATAGGTCATGAAATTTGCATGACGAATGTTGCATGCAAATGTCGATTCATATTAACTCTGTATATATAGCAAGGCAGATGCCAGCTAGCATAAGAATGGTGCATATAGACAGTGTTAATTCTGGAGTCCTGGAAGCTGTAGTATGCTCGTCCACCACATGGCCATCTGCAAGGTAGGGACACTTGGTCATTAAAGGAAATCCCTCTGGTAATTGAACCTGCTGCCCACACACGTGGCATATCTACAAGAGCCAAAAATCAGTCAGGGCCCGACATGGGATGAGCACAGTGTGCTTATGGGATCAACAGTATTGACTACATGGAATTCAGGCTCTCCTGAAAAAAATCTTTCAACGCAAATTGTCACCGGTCTACCGTGAACTTGCTCCTCCCTGGACATGTGCTCTCACACCTGGTAACCTACCCCAGCCAGTGACACGTTCAATCAATTGCAGGGGTGCAGCAGAGCTTGGTTAGGCTCTGAGGATAAGCAGACAGCACGTTTTGGGTCCCAAGTTGCAAGAAGAAAATATGGTCTCCGCCTATCCAATCGTTCACTCCACACTTACCAAACGCCTGTCCTGGGCCTGACACTGAGGATGCAAATGGAAAATCCCTGCCTGAATCGGGGGGTGCCCATCTTGTACCTCAAGGGAAGAATTGGCTTTTGTTGACTTTCTGGACTTGAACATTCTGAATTTCTAACATCTACAGGATGAGAACTATGAGAGGCCTTTGAACTTGGGTGGAGCTAGAAATCTGGCTCAGGTCAGGGTGGGGAAAGAAACCTCTCCTCTTATTCTCATCTAGGTCCCTGTGCTTCTTGTCATTGTTTTCCTTAAATCAGTAGAAATCAACAAGGTGAAAGGGTCTGAGACCAACCACCAGGAGGTCCGTGGAGGGGGGGGGGGTCCAGCCTCTGGTGGAATTTGAGGGCATTAATTGAAGTTGGGTGCCCCTCCCCTGCTGTTGGGGTGGGTACTAACTGAGCTGTCCCCTGGGGATTGTCTGGGTCTCCCTGCCCTAAGGAAAGGAACACCAGAAAACATCTCTTGGTGTTTTAAGAGGCCAAGCCTTTTTCTTGTTTGTTTCTCTTAATAGGCGTTCACATACTATAAAATGTCAAATAGACCTGAAATAACTCTCTATCTGAAAGGTAGCATGGCTAGTGACATTTTGAGGGTGTAAATATCAAGGATGCCAAGGTGATACCCTACCTGGAGTCCTCGATGCTTTGGCTGCCAGGCTCTCATGAGCCACGAGGTGAGAAAAGAGACCCCATTAACTAGGCGCCCACAGGCCAACCAACCTGAAAGGGCGAGAGGAGTCACCACTTACCACAGCCGGGTAGGAATGCCTGAGGGAAGCAGCGGAGCTGGCCGTGCCAGCATTTACACATAGCACACTTCTTGGGCAGCCAGGTGTCATGCGGCACAGACCCACAGTTCCTGAGAATGAATGGATAAGGCGGTGCATATGTATTTTAAATCCCCACTTCTTTTTCCCTCTCCTCTCCACCCTCCCACCCTTTTAATGGCTTACTCTTTGCGCCTATCGTGCTCACAGTTCCGTCCATAGAAGGAGGGGAGGCAGGCACAAAAGGACCCCAGCATGCAGGTTCCCCCATTCAGACAGCAGGTTTTGTTGAGTTCCTTACCTGAAATGTAAGAAGGGACTTAGAGGGTGGAGGGACTGAAAAGTCAAGTTCCCATTAGCAAAGGTTAATACAGTGCCAAGGACTTACTCTCCCCAAAGTGTCTGTAGATGTCTAAACATTATAAACCTCAGAGAATAAGACTGGTTTGTAGTGTTCCTTTTGCCACCTGTGCATTGGAGCAGAGAAATCCATTACATGCAAAGGCCAGTGATGGTTCCCGGACTCCCCAGTGTGAAGTGGAAGCAGGTGAGGGAGACTGTGTTCCAGGGAGGTGAAGTACGCAACGCCTGTCTTGTCTCCATCATGGAAACCTGTTGAACCATCCACCCAACTCCAGAATCAGGTCCCCACTCTCTCAGGTGAAACAGCGTCAAAAATAGGAAACACATGAAGGGTGTGGACAGTGATATCACCCACACTGTAGATCTAAGGCAGGTAGGTCTTACTATCCTGGATTCTCATGGGTGGCACAAACTGGGAAGACTGATGATGAATTGCAGGCTCCTCCTGGGACCCAGGGCTGTTATCTCTGAAGGCCAGGTCTCCCTGTGAGAGTCGTGCAAGTTCATGGTGGTCCAACCCTTAAGGACAAAATCAACTCATGGAATCTGTATTTCAGACCGCATGAAAATTGCTAGTGATCACAAGAACCAAAAACCTCTTACCAGCAACTAATCCCAGTTCAAAGGCTTTGAAAATGGCCATGATCAAAATCACCCTAGGAAGGGGAAATCAGATATTGTTAGTAAAACAAAGCAAATAAAACCCTCTGAGTTAACACCTGGGTCTTCCCATCACAAGGACAAAACCACAGAACACTAAGGAGAAATTCTAGAGTATCACCTTTCTCTTTTTCCGGTCCCTTTCTTTTGAAATGGCTGACTAATTCATGTAACAACACAAAGAAAAATGATGAGAATAAAAGCCACCTAATAGCCAACTCTTTTCAATATATATTATTACTTCTAGGCTGTCCTCATTTGCACATAATTTTAAGTAAGTATAAATCTTTTATCTTCTGTTTCACATATATTTTTCTCATTTACACAGTTTTCATAGACGAACTTTAAAATGACTAGATAACATTCTGTGTAATTGACAAATCACATTTTACCAACTATTTCATTTAAACCAGTCCTTGGAAAGATTTTCAGGTTAAAAGAACTCCCATTATTCTTAATGATTTTGCAAATTGTGAGTCAATGCCTTTAATCGTCTCAGAAACAGATTTTTAATTTGGTTGTAATATTGACCTTTCCTTACACCAGAGTAGAAAAACACTAGTCATTGGCAGAGCCATTAACCTAATTAAAAAAATCTTAAAAACCAATGACAAAGTTGGGTGTAACTACAAGTGTGAAGTTCCAGGATTTTCAGGAAAAACAGCAGCACTGTTGGCAGCTCTTTCAAGGTTTGCGCAGGATGAAATCAAACAGCGAGGTGAAGAACATTACTTCCTAAGTTGGCAAGCTCTAGTAATCAAAAGTTCAAGATTGGTTCATACCTGGAGGAGAAGCACGCCATCTTCCTGCCGTCCAGAGCCCCTAGCAATTTAAAGGGGGAAAAGTTAGCGTGCTATAATTCAGTCATGCCAAAACACCCAAAGGAAAACATTAATTTCCTGAAACGGAAATGGGGATTTAAAGAGGAAAATATCCCGGATGAGAAATATGCTTTTCCCACGTCTTAGGAGAAGCAGGAGCCAGAAAGTCCGCAGAAACTGGGGCGCTCGTCAGAGTTGCGTCCTAATCCTTAGGCCGGCACTCAGCCTTCCCCGGGATACTCCCTCCTCAATGACAAATCCCTGGGATGGAGGGGATGCCCCCAGAGGTGGGCGGGGAGGCCGGAGGCCCACGCCCATTACAATGCTTAAACTCTCCAGGGGTGAAGGTGAAAGGCGGTAAACTCTCACCGCGAAACAAAGAGAAAATGGGTAGGGCGGGGTCTTGTAAAACCAGGTTAACCAGGCCTAAAGTCGCCATCATTAGCTGCTGGTTAAAAATATGAGATTTACTTTTTTGGGGGAAAAAAAAAATCAGTTACACTATCCAGTTGGTGATTCCAGGCTGGAGGAGTGGTGGAAAGTAATTGCTTTCACCAGGAAACCCAGGGTATGGGTTTCTCGTGGCGTTTGATATTTTATTTTATTGCCAGGCTTGGTCTCTTGAAATTGCTTTCACCTTTGTCTTTCCGAGACAGGTGTGTTGAGCCCCGTGCTCTGCGCTGGGCATCCTCAGGCGGCCAAGGAGGGCGCGCTCTCCGCCAGTGGGGAGTTAGGTGTGTGAGGGGAAAGGCTTGGGAAGCTTGCCATGAAGACAGAAGTTCAGGGTCAGGAAGGGTCCCTGCGGGGTTCCTGACCTCACGTGACTGAGTGTAACTTTCTGAATTGCAAGTGGAGGCTGGAAGAAAGAACAGGAGGGCCGGCTGCGAGGTGTGCGTGTGCGGCCTCGGACTGCACGTCCCTGGCCGACCCCTGGCTGGGGCGTGGCCACTGGGGGTCTGCAGTCAGGGTGCCGGCCCTGCTCCAGGAAAACGCTCTAGAAACACGGCAGTCCGGCATGGGAGGCCATTTCAGCCTGGTCACTGGGATTTTTTTTTTCAGTGTCTTGGCGCCCTGCCCCCACGACACCGGAATGAACCCCAGATTCAGAGGTGTCCGGTGTTACCCTTAAGGCAGGTGCAGAGGCGCTCCCACTCACCTAACATCTCGGTGCTCCAGATGATTTAATTCGTTACTAGATACGTCCAAAGTCATGAGTAGTTCCTAAATATAATTTAATTCTAATTTCTAAAGTAAAAGCCCGGAGTTTACTTAATATTGCCAGACACACAAGTGTGAAGCTTTTATGTAGTTCTTTCTGTTTTCACTCCTCTTTGTATTTACAACGCGGCAGAAGGAATCGGCCGCCCCGAGGCCTTTTCAGCCTCAGCGTTTACCTGTGTGACTGCGCCGGGTCTCCGGGTGCGGAGACGGGCCAGTATTTGCTTTTACACCTACGCCTTGGCAGGGTTAAACGTAATGTTATTTTCCTTGGGGAGTAGGGTGCCATCGGAGCAATGGTGGGATGCCCCCCATTTACTTATAGCTAGCAGCATTTCCAACTCCGCAGCAACTGGCCATTCAATTTCCGCAGCGCTTGAACTCCCTGTGTGGCCTTTCAGCTCGGTAAATGCTCCCAGTGGCAAGCTGACTGACAGACTTAGGGGCCCTGGGAACTTGGCCTGAAACTCTGGAAGCCGGATGTGGGGGAGGGTGGTACATAGGAGACATCCTCCCAACCCCCAGAGCTGCAAGGAGGCTTGAAGAACACACAAAGTACTTGGTAGAGCACACGGGGCTTCGGCCCTCATAAATCCAAGTAGAGAAGCAACGTGGGCATTATTAGTATCACCGTGTGGATGAGACGACTCATCCCATTTGTGGGTTTAAGAAGGAACTGAGGCCCCAGTCTGGCGATGATAACGTCGTGGCTGGGGTGAGTTTAAAACGGGAAGGCAACCGAGTCTGGGGTTGGTGCTTCCTGTGCTGCTCAGCCAATAGAGCCAACGCAGGAGTTGGGCTATTAAGAATAAGAGTTGATTGTCAGAGCACTGGTGGTCTGAGAAAGCAGCAGGTTAACACCTTCAAAAACTGCCTTCACATTCTCAGACCGGTTTAGGGTATTGAAGGGAAAATGTGGACATTCTTCCAGGGGCTAGGGATCTGCTGTGCTTCATGGAGCCTTTCCTCTGGCAACATGGCTCTCCGCTGGTGTCAGCACCCCAGGAACAATGAGTCGAGTAGCCTGGAAAGAATGCTAGACCATAGAGACTGTGATCAATAAGCATAAGGGTATTAATCATAAGTTTCAGGGTAGTTTTCTAAAGCAGGGAACTGGGACAGTGGACATTCAGGGCTCAAGCTGCAGGGGGAGGATCTATTGTTAAGTTATAGGTCAAGGAAAGGTGAGGCCGGGACGTTGGGAGGCCTTTACTGTGGGGGGATCCCAACCAGGCCCTGCTTCAAGTTCAGCCTGCAACCCAAGCCTGCCAGTCTTCCTGCCATACCAAATCCCTTCTTATCCAAGGACAGGAACTTACTGAAAAGACCTGCATTTGCCACAGGCGTAGAGGGTGGAAAAAGTCAAGTGTACATAGCGTAGACAGAACCCGGGTCAAGGCTTGGGATGGACGATTAGGGAAGGGGAAGTGTTGTGGTGTTTGAGTGGCCAGGTATTTGCTATTGGGCTGGGGACCCACAGGCTGTCCATTCAACAGGTATTTTAATGAGTCCACTATGTTGTCTGTCAAGGGCTGTGCTCTGGGTTATGCAGTGGTGACAAGTGACCCCATAGTGTAGTGGGGGAGAAAGAAAAACAGTAATCTTGTCACTGTGGTAACTGCAAAAAGTTGCTTCTGCCTCTGGGTGGGGGAATTGACTGGCCACTCTGGGCCAGCCACTGGACATCTCTGCTCATTCACTGCTGAAATTGACAGAGGCCACCCTATAGGTCAGATGCATGGAGTGCCAGGCCTGGGGTTAGGAGACACCATGGAATGGGGGTTCCCCAGTCCCAGGCAGCCCATTTCTTCCCTTATGGAGGGCACTGAGGGCTGAAAGTGAAAAACAGATGCTCTTGGTCTCTGGATGTTTCTGTATTTCCCTCTGAGCTGTTGTATATTAAAAACTGGGGCAACGGAGCCAGAATTGTGTGTTTATTGTAAAATTCACACAGATATGCATTTAACTTAAAACCATCCAACCAACCAAGAATAGTCAAACCAAAAAACATCAAAATCAAAAGATAGACTTCCAGTGTCTGTCTAAAATTCAAGGAAGAAAACACGTTTGGAGATGGGATAGAAGTTAGCTTTAAAAAGCCAATCTAGACTTATTTCAGTGGTTGAGAACATAGAATTAAACCCCAACTAAAGAGCCAATCAAAAGAACAGCCATTTCTGCAGCACGTTGACCAGGTTTTTAGGGAAAAGCATACTTTTATCATAGAACCCCTAGGGATGAGTGAGTGGTCTTGCCTCTGTCACTGTCCCCCACACATTCAGGAGGCTGGGCTGGGGAATTCCTCCAGCCTCTAATCCCACCAAGCTCAGCGCCCTGCAGCTTCTGATAAAACCTCGCCAATTCATTACCAAGTTAATGGCTTTTTGTTCTCACCAGTGAAATTAACAGCTGGAAACCTAGTCTGTATTTGCCACAGATCTCTCTGTGTGGGGTTTAGAAGGAGAGATACTTGCTCAAAAATTTGCAGTCTTGGTGGGGAAGACAAGCTTAATGGAGTCACTTTAGAGCTATACCGTTACATACATTGGGTAGGAGGGAGGAGAGACGTGCTTAAGAGAGGATTCCACTTTTGGGGGAGGGGGGTTTGGGGGAGAGGGGTATAGCATATGAATTCCTCTATAGACGCATCATAAATTATTTTATCAATGAATGGACACTTCGTGTGTGTCTGCATTTGGCAGTGAACTCCCCTGGACATACATGCTGGTGAATGCTTGAGTGTATACCCAGCCAGTAAATTTCTAGCACTGGAATTGCTTGGATAAAGGGCGGACCTTTCCAAATTAATTTTCCGGAGAAGGCTGCTCTGGTCCCCTCTCCTCCCCTCCTCCTCTCGCCCTCCCCCGTCCCCCATGTCTTTACCAGCTGGCTGCACCAAAGCGTCTTAATTATGCTTAATTAATGAACTTGCTAATTCAGTATGTGAAAAACAGTGTCTCGGTTGTTTGGATTTGCAATGTTTTCTGTATTTTATGGGATGTTTGTTCCATTGACCCTTGAACAACACGGTGGGAACTGCGCAGGTCCACTGATATGCAGATTTTTTTCTCAACAAATACTGTAACTCTATTTTCTCTTCCTTATGATTTTCTTAATAACATTTCTCTAGCTTATTTAATTGTAAGACTACAGTATATAATAGATATCACATACAAAATATGTGTTAATGGACAGTTTATGTTATCAGTAAGGCTTCCTGTCAACATAGGCTATTCATCCTTAAGTTTTTTTTGGCGGGGGTGGTGGGGTTGGGGGGAGGTTCACAAGTTATGTGTGGATTTTCGACTGCACAGGGGTCAGTGCCTCTAACCCCCCACGTTGTTCAAAGGTCAACTGTGTTTCTCTTTCTGTGACTTGGCAGGTAGTTCTTAGAGGAAACTTGAACTGGCTTCTTTCTGGAGACTCAGCCCAGACTCAGCCATTTACTCTGGGAAGCCCTTCCTGACTCCATCCTCCCTTCCCTGGCTTCTGGTTAAGAGGTCTCCCCCCTCCTTCCTCCACCATCCTGGCCCCCATGGCTGGAATTTACTTTATCTTGTCAACACTGGATTGTAAACTGCTTGTTTTCTTGTCTTTCACCAACCCTTCCCCCTAGCCTTTGTCCCCTAGACTAGGCTGTCCAGAAACCTGGTCTTCTGGAAATCACAGCTTCCCCAACTGTAGTGCAGTGTCTGCTATGCTGGTTTCCTCTTGCTAAATCTTACTCCATCTGCTCGTCTGTGGCTGATGGAAACATTAAGTCTCAGCCCTAGTTTCTAAAAAGGGGGTGAGGCGAGGGCAAGGACTTTGAGAAACACCACAAGAAAACTTGCTTCCCTTATCCTGAACCAGGAAGTACAACAAAGAAGGAAAGAGAAAGAATCCTAAGAACTGCAAGTAATGCTGAATTCCAGGCAATTTATTCAAGAGAGTTCATATATAAGATAATCTTGATGCACTTACTGGAAACCATGTTAGGGAAAGTCTGATTTAGACTTTTAGACATCTCTATGGTTTAGAATTCTTTCTCACCCGAGTTTTTCTCCTTCCCGTTGAATTCAACAAATATTTACTGGCTAGCTACCCTGTGCTGAGCACAGTGGGAGGGAGGCGGGGGCAGAGATTTCCAAGATTGGGCTGTACTCCGTTCCCCATTTTTCCCAGATAAGACAAGCCCAGTAATCTATGCCAAGTGCCATTTTAGTGTTATCAAAAAACGGCTCATCAGGAGAAGGCAGTCACTTCCTGATTCCAAGGCCAATGGCCCCAGTAGACAGATGGATGGGAAGACAGACTCCTAGGAGTGAGATTAGGGAAGGCAAGCTGGGGTCCCACTTGGTTTCACAGGACCTGGAGAATCTCATTTTAAAGTGCTTGCTAAGTGGATTTTGTATTTGTTTACACCCAGGCATCCTTCACAGCTCATAATGGTTTTGAAATGGATTAAACGCATGTGGAGGGAGGGAGGCGGCAGTGCAAAACCCAAGCTGTATCAGAAATGAATTAAAGTGCTCTAGTGAGAAGATTTCCTGTATGCAAACAGCACCAGGTGCTTTGAAGTGTGTGTGCCCCACTCTGGAAACCCCAGGGGGCCAGGCGGGACTTCTGACATATGGCAAGTGTGAGATAACAAATAATGTCGTATTAAGTCACTGAGTTTGTGAGAACTTGTTATGCAACAATATAAAATGAACACAAACACTTTAAAGCTTTTTTATTGAAATATATCACACATTCAGAAAAGTGTTCAAATAATAAGAGTTGCAAGTTAATAAATCATTCCAAAGTGAGCACCACGTAAGCACCATTCAGGTCAATAAATGATGATTGTTAGAGCTCCAGAAACCTTCCTGATACTTCTTCACAATCACTACCCCCTCCATCTTCCCCAGAGTTATTTTTTTAATTTCTAATCCCATAGATTGGTTTTTCCATGGTTTTCAAACTTTATATAAGTGTGTGTGTATATGTCTACTTCCTTTTGCTCGACTTTATGTGGGTGAGACCCGTCTATGTTGTTTATAGAAGTTTGCTCGTGTTCATTGCTGTATAGTAATGATTCAAAGATTCAACACCACTTATTTATGTGTTTACTTAAATTTACTTTAAATTACAGTTGACATACAATATTATATTTGTTCCAGGTGTACAACATAGTGATTCAACCTTTGTATACCTCCCAAGTGATTGCCATAATAAATCTAGTAGCCATTTGCCACAGTGTATAGTTACTGTGATATTATTGACTCTATTTCCTATTCAGCACCATTTATTGAAACAATCATTCTTTTTTTTTTATTTTAGATTTTTATTGGGGAATTGGGGGGATGGGAACAGCGTTGAGGAGTAGGGGAAGGGGAACAGACAAGTTGCTGTCGTTTTGTTCTTCAGTCTAGTTGTGGAGGACATTGCCTCACTGGCCCAAGTTGGCACCATCATTGCGCTCTTCCTGGGAGAGGCACATCAGTCGCTGGCTTTTGGACGGCCGCTCACGCTGGCTGCTGGCTACATACGGTAGCCCATGGCAACCCACTGCCACAGGGGCTGCAGCCTACGCCTTCGCGGGCGACTCACAGCAGCCCAGCTCTAGGTCGAGCTGTTGTTCAGCATCTTAGCTGTAGAGGGCAGTGTCACTGGCCCTCATATGTGGGATCCGAACCCAGGCCCTCTGGCGTCCCAAGCCAGTTCTTAACCATTGCGCCACTCAGCCGGCCGGCCTGAAACAATCATTCTTATATCACTGCTCTATAATACTATTTTCATCAGGAATCAATTGGGTGGTTGTGAGTTTGTTTCCTTAATGCTTTATTCTGTTTTGTTGGCCTATTTGTCTCTTGTGCCAATACCATTCTGTCTTCATTACTGTAACTTTATAATAGTCCTTGGTCCTTGGCATAGTATTTCCTCTCCTTTTGTTCTTTATATTCAAGATTATCTTGAATATGCTTAATTTTTTATATTCCTATATAATTTTTAAATCAGTTTCTGAATTTCAAAAAAATTCTGTTGGAATTTTGATTAGAGTGCGTTGACTCTTCAGAGGAAGTTGGAATTAATATTTATATTATATAGAGTCAGTCCATAAACATTTGTTTAGGTGTGGTTTAATGTATTTCAATAATTTTCTATACTTTTCTATGTAGAGGTTGGTTTAGTTTTGTTAGATTATTCCTAAATATTTGTTTTTCTGGTGTTAAAGGAAATGGTATCTATTACTTCCATCTTTGTGGTTGCTGATATTTACGCTGACCTTGTATTTAATACCTTTACGAAATTTACTTATTCTATGAGTTTGCTAGGGCTGTCATGACAAATACCACAGACTGAGTGGCTTAAATAACAGCAATTTATTTTCTCGCAGTTCTGAAGGCTAGAAGTCCAAGATCAAGGTGTCTGCAATTTGGTTTCTTCTGAGGCTTCTCTCCTTGGCTTGCAGATGGCCACCTTCTTGCTTTGTCCTCACACTGTCTTTCCTCTGTGTGTGCATGGCTCTGTCCTCATCTCCGATTCTTATAACGATACCAGTCATATTGGATTAGGGTCCACCATATGACCTCATTTTATCTTACTTATCTCTTTAAAGGCCCCATCTCCAACAATCATTTCTTAGGTACTGGAGGTTAAGACTTCAACATATAAATTTTAGGGTGATCCAATTTAGCCTGTAACACTTTCAAATTCCACAGTTTGTCTGTAGATTTCTTTGGATTATCAACATACTTGTATAGAATCATATTATCAGTGATTATATATATTATATATATTATATTTATTTATCTGTTTATTATGTGAAATAAAATTCACACAGCATAAACTCAACCATTTTAAAGTGAACAATTCATTGGCACTTAGTACATTCACAACATTGTGCAATTACTACCTCTGTCTAATTCCAAAACATTTAAGTCACATATAAAACCCCAGATCCATTAAGCAGTTGCTTCCTGGTAGTTTGGGTGGAGGGTTGCCAGATAAAATACAGGACACCTAGTTATATTTAAATTTCAGATAAACAACAAATAAGTTTTGAGTATAAGTATGGCTCATACAATATTTGAGGCATACTCATGTAAAAAATTATTTGTTGTTTATCTGAAGTTCAAATGTATCTAAAAAGCATTTTTATTTGCTAAATGTCTCAGTCCTATTTGGATATATACACTATAGTCTGAGGAACCTGAGCTATACGACAGTCTGCTTCTCTAACATGAGCATCATAAAGGCATCATCTCATTGCATTTTGAATTTTGACTGCATTTGTGGGGAAAAAATATTTTTTCTACTTAAATATGATTAAGCTTTTGAATAGTCCACTTTCATAGATTGAAATAGTGTCGAAGGAGTATCTGAACTGTAACTGCTTTTTCCATTCATATTCTTTGGTTCAGAATACCATAAAAACCAAACCAAAACAAACCAAACTAAACATTAATAACTAAAGAGGTAATGTATATTATCTATCAAAAGAGAAAAATAACATAAAAATTCCATCCTAAGTAGTAAAAAACACATCCAACACTTTAGAGGTCTGATTTAATATAGTCACAAAGATTTATTTGAGCCCCACCAACTTAGTATGCAATTTAAAATGATCATTTCATGACAAATGTCAACAATTATAAATGTGAACAAATAGGAGAAGTTTCACATAGCAAATTGTTCTTTCAAAAGAAAACCATTTTGTCGTTAGAGTTATTGTGTATATATTAGACAAAGGTGTTTTTCTGTTTCGGCAAAGGTGTATGAGGTGTGTTGCCATGAAGCGAGGGGTTTGTGTGGACCGTGGGGGAGGCTCGAGTCCCGATGATTAAGTAATTGTCAAATCGTCACAATGTTGGATGTCAGCAAATCATATTTGTCCAGTTAGTAAAATGTCTAAAGAGAAACTAAACTCACATATATTTTAGGAAATTAAAAAGAAAAAAAAGTAAGGATAAAATCAAGGCCTTCCACCTCTGTTGCTTCAAACATCCCTGGATCACAGGGCTTTCTTATCCTGCTTTTTGTGCGGTTCCTAGATTAGAGTGCCGAGACACGGACCATTCCCTTCTCTGGCCTGTTTTATCCAACACACTTAAGGATTTCCAATGTCAAAAGGGGGCCCGCCATCTGGCCGGGAGGTGCAGATAATCCCGGGTTATAGGCTCACATTGGCCGGCTTGTCGTTTGCACTGTGCCAAGCCCTCCCCTACGAAGTCCGTTTTGTCTCATGCGGCTGAGTCACATAGAATAGATAGATAGTTTATCAGCACATGTCCTCCAGATCATGTTTTCAGCTTACAAATATAGCCTGTTAGCGCACAGGCAGAGGCTCCGGCAGTTGGAGCGCTTCCGGCTCCAGCGTGTGGCAGCGGCGGGCAGGGGCTCTGGCTGCAGGGCAGTCACGGGTAGGTAGGTGGCCTTCGTGGATGGGCGCGGGAACGCGAGTGAGCGGCTGCTCCTGAAACCCGGGGGACTGCAGGGATTTGGAGGGTGGTGGCGTGTGGCTGGGGGGATGGGGCAGTGCACTCCTTGTTTATGTCTTTCCCACCGTGCCAGGGCAGGACAGGGGTGAACATCGCGAAAGGTCGCGTGGCTGAGGATTACGCAGTAATCTGCATTTTAGGGCAAGGACTGGAATTGAATGGGGAAGGAGACCGGGCTGCTGCTGTGTCAGAGGCCCCACGACTCCCGCTCCTGGGTAGTGTGTTACTCCCAGCACACTGCCCCAAGGCCAAGCTCAAAAGTTTCTGGTCTTCGGTATTGTACAGGGGAGATAAATCAAGTTTGTTTATGTTGTCTTCAGTGCCCGGGAGGGGTGATTGACAGCTGCCCGGGAAGTCTTTCCGCTGGGAGACTGTCACGCCCCTGGCTGGTGGAAAAAGGATTGGACACCCAGAGGAGAATTGTCCGCCTCTGTAAGCAGCTCAGCTGTGCTGGCGGCTCTCCTGCTGGACCGCATCCTCTAACATAACCCAGGGGCTGGGGTGTTGTCCAAATGACCGCTGCTAATTACGCTGGGTGGAGAGAAGTCCTCAGATGCTCATGCACCTCTTGTTTTTATCCTACATTTCATTGGTGACAGTGTCTGTCTTGATTTCTTTTTTTCTTTCTTTCTTTTTAAGATAATACATTTTTGGAACTTTACTAGGGTGCCAGGTACTGTCGTAAGCACTTGACACAGTTTTCACGCGTGATCCTCTCACCAATCCTGTGAGCTCCGTGCTGCTGTTCTTGGTGCCGGGATGAGAACCCCGAGGTTCCGGAGAGGTTAGGTAACCGTCTCAGGGACATGGCAGCAGTAAGCCGGGAGGCAGGACTCCAGCCCAGGCTGGCTGTGACTCAGACACTGTCCCCTTAATCCCATCTTCAGCCTCTGCCTCCCCTGGCTGGGTTTTCTATCTTAACAAATTACCATAAAAATAATGGGTGTGCCCAGGGAAACCCTGATCATGACATAAAATGTCATTGAATTCAGAATTTGCCCGAAATTTTGTGACTAAGTATAGCCCCTATACTAAGAGACCTAACTTAGCCCCTATTTACCCCACTGTTTCTATCAGAAAACTCACTCGGCGTTCCAACTCTGAGGTCCAGGCAGTGGCCTTATGTGAGGATAGAATGGAATTTGTGTGTCACTAAAGCCCTTTGTGTGCTGTGCTGTATAACCCCCACTGTGCCTTGGTGTCCCCAAAAGTTCCTACTGGTTACTGTCATTCCTTTGAGTCCAGCAAGGCTGATAGGTGTCTTCCTCACATGGCAGATACACCTGGAAGAAGGCTGTGGAAGGTCTGGAGCTGGTCTGCCTCAGGGAAAGAGGGGTCCTGGGGACTCTGAGGGGAGCCAGGCCCCTCTCCCCACGCTGCTTCAGGTGACCTGCCACCAGCTCTGTTCCCCTCTCCCCACCTTCCCCCTTGCTGCTGACCCTCCCCCAGCCTTGAAGAGGGAGCATCAAGAAGGGGTTGGGACCTAGACTGTGGACTTGGTTGGGCCTCCTCCCAGCCCCTTCCCATCTCAGGTTCTCTCAGATGTTAGCCCTGTCCCCAACCCCTGGACCCCTAGCCCACTTTGTCATTTGACAAGCAGGGAGAGGACAAGGTGACCGGAAAGTCCGCTCTCCTGCCTGGAACCCTGGCATGACTTCTGAGTGGAGACCAGTGTTCTGGTGCCAGGGGACATGTTTTTCCAGTCATGCCCTCTGGCTCAAGAGAGTGGATGTTTCTGTAAAGTGATTCTGATATGCCTGGGTTATGGAAGGAGCATGGAAAATTATTTGCCCTTCCTGATGGTCCCTACAGGACTATCCCTCCCCTCCCCTCCACCACCCCCTGTCCTCCCTGCCCCCCCCACACACACACTTGAGGGCACCCCTCCTCTCCTGGCTCCCACAGCAGGTCATTCAGCCTCTGTTGCTGAATCCACATGCTGCTGCATTGAAATGTCTCCCTTTCAGCATTTGCTTTCCCCTCTAGATTGAGAACGTGGAGGCAAGATCATTCATCTGTCAGCACTGAATGAGTGCCCTTAAATATCAGGTACATAGGGTTCCCAGGAATCAAGGAACAGAAACATACACCAAGTAAACTGGCTCAATGCACAGGGTTTCTTTGTTGAGGTTCAGAAACAGGAGCCTGGCATCTCTCAGCCCTCCAGTTCCTTCCGTCTGTTACTGGGTGACCGCTCAGTGTGGGGGTGGGGAGGGCTGACTTGAGGGGACCAGGCTCTGAGTCCCAGTCTGGGGCCTCCCGGGTCGCTGCTCCTGTCAGTGAACCATGGTTTTTCTCAGCTCGGTTCATGGACATATAAAGTATAATTAAACGATCAAATAATTCAACTTTTATTACGTTCTGTGAGGTAAATAAGCCAAGAGTCTCAGAGAAAAAAATAACAGGAGGATCTACCTCCCATAAAGAGGCCAGGAAGGCTAGGCTGGGGAGAGAACACTGGAGCTGAGTTCAGGGTGTATGCGGAGGTGGGGAGGGGGGAGATCACGTGATCGGGGGAAGCATGTCCAGGCAGAGGGAGTGGTGTGTGCAGAGTCCGAGGTGGGAAGCGGTGGGGGTGGACAAGCACTGAGGAGGAGAAAAGTCAGGGTGAGTGAGAGGGGCTGGCCCAGGGCAGATCATCGCAGGGTCTTAGTGGACCCCGTGAGGAGCTGGCATCCCCCTCTCATTCCAAAGGGAAACCTCTGGAGAGCTTGAGCCAGGAGGCAGCATACTCTAGTTCTCCTTGGAAAATGACTGTCACGCTTGTGTGGCAAATGGATTGGACGTGGGTGAGTGGGAATCCAGGAGACCAGCTGTGAGTTTTGCACAACTGAGGCCAGATGTGACAAACACGTGGTGAGAAACACATGTCCTCTAAAACTTAGGTGATAGATTAGATATGTGTGTGTGTGTGTGTGTGTGTGTGTGTGCGCGCACACATAGTGGGTGGGCAGAATGAGGAAACAGAAAGCATAAAGGAGCAACCTCAAGATAAATATGAGGTCAATCTCGAGATGGGAATTCAGGCAGCCAGGGATGGACAGATTCTAGACGAGTAAGTTTGGAGGGCATCATGTTTCTTTGCGATACGTGTGAACACATCCAGGTGGATATGTCAAAGGAAGCAGCTGGATAGAGACACCAGATGTCACTATAAAATAAGGCTGATTTTTATAAGTGCTTCTTATTTTACTGTTCACCATATTGGCTATTTATTGCTACATAACAAAATCACCCTGATACTTAACAGCTTAAAATAACAAAGATTTATTATCTCACAGTTTCTGAGGGTCAGAAATCTGGAGTGGCTTAGCTGAGTGGTTCTGGCTCAGGGTCTCTCATGAAGTTGCACTCAAGGTGTCCCCAGGACTACAGTCATCTGAAGTCGTCTCTACTGGGGCTGCAGGGGCTGCTTTTAAGAGAGATTTTGCTCACATGGCTGTTGGCCAGAGGCCTCAGTTGCTTCTCTGTAGGGCTGCTTGAGCATCCTTATGACATGGTGGCTGACTTCCCCCAGAGTGAATGATGAGACAGAGAGAGAGAGGAGAGAGAGAGAGAGAGAGAGAGAGAGAGAGAGAGAGAGAGACCTTGTAGAACTTAGCCTCAGAAGTCACACTCCATCATATTCTATTCATTAGAAGAGAGTCACTTAGTCTGGCCTCGCTCAAGGGGAAAGCTCTACATTTATAAAGGAAACAATGTCAAGGAATTAGTGGGTATAATTTAAAGCCATCACATCCACCAAAGCAAAATATTTTATATTTTATTGTTCACTAAAGCTGGGATCAGTAAACTACAACCCACAGGCCTGCCATGTGTTTTTGCATGGCACGTGGGCACTGCTGGAACAGGCTAGCACTGTGAGCTATGGAGACCAAGCTGGAGTATCTCCCTCTGTCCTATTCCCCCTCTACTCTCAGTGCCTGTCTACCTGGCTGCTGTACTTTGCTGTTGCCCAAGGCCCATGCTGGTTGCCCTCTATGTGTTGGAGACTCTGCTGTTGGCAATGCAAGTAGTGGAATCTCTGCTCAGGAGATGGTTACCTTGCAAGTCACCTTGCCTCCAGCTAGCCGCCCAACTTGAGATGACTGGGAGGAGAGGACACACAGGCATCTGGGTGTCACTGGGGCAGAGAGTAAAACTGACTGCAGTAGGTCTCCCCTCCCCTGCTCCTCTGCGTACCTTGGGCCAGTGGCTCTTATCCTGCGAATGTCTCCAGCAATGCCAACTGAACAGAAGCATGGAAGCATGCTCATTGCTCAGACAGGCCCACCCCAGGCAAGCGGGGAGGGGCAGGCCAGGAGTTTTCTGTTAAGTAGGTACCTACATAATATCTTTGATTTTGCCGGTTGGCCTGCAAGGCCTGTAATATTGACTGTCTTGCTCTTTACTGAAAAAGTTTGCTGACCCCTGCAGTAAAGCAAAAGGTTTTTCCAGGAGGAATTTACAATTTACTTTTTCCACTGCCAATCCCATTTTTGCGAGTCTCTGATAGTTGATATTTTCACCCAGGACTTGGACCATTTTCACCCAAGCACTGGAGAGGCACGGGCCTGAGGACACTCTGCCCCAGGGGCCTTTCTGATGCAGTGAGCGTGTCATTGCTCTTTTCCCGACACAGTCCCCGGTGTTTTCTTCTCGGGAAGATGCTCTGTGGTTGTGGATCATGCAGCCTGACCTAGGGAGGCTTGTCCTCATGATTCTGCCATCACCTCACCAGGCGGTGCCAGGTCTCCAGCAGGGAATGGCACTTAGATGTCTTCTTGGATCTTTGCTGTCAAATTCAGGTGAAAGCTCTGCAGCCTACTTGGTTGTAGTTTCCTCGAAGGGGCGATAGCTTTCTTTGTGTTGAGGGCCTCCAGGCTGGATCCTGTATATTAACTCTTCTCTGTTTGGTGGAGTATATCCTGGTGCTACTTCCATAGTGCTAGAGCAAGTTCATGCTCAGGAAATCACATTTATGCATTTGCTGAAAGATTATGTTGACTGGAGTTTATGCTACAGAGAAGAGAATAGCTTTGTAAATGTGCCAGGGACCTTCTCTCCTCCAAGTTGCTGAGTGACTGGCACCTGCATCTGTCCCTGACATCTGCCTCCTCTCTATTTCCTAGTGTGGCTTTGTTTCTGGATGGGGGAGGGGGGGTCTCCTACCTGTCCTGGAGTGAGTGACTCATGGGTTCTTGTTGCAAATCTACTTTCCTGGTCTCAGCACCCACCCATGGGGCTACTATGTCCTGGATTGAGGTGGAACCTGTCAGTTGTCTTAGGGATGCCTGACTCAGCCCTGTGCTGCACAAGGTGCCAGCAGCTGGGCTGGGCCTGGCATTTAGGAGCTGGTACTTTAGCTTCCCGGGGTCTGTGGATGTTACATGTAGATCCCTAACAAATGTGGGCATCACATACTGTTCTTAGATTCTCCAGTTTTTATTACACACATCTGCAAAAAGAGCATCTTACAGACAAGACCCTGATTTAAATCCTGGCACATTTAAAACCCTCTTAACAGAAGCATAGAACCTCCTTACCTGCTTTGCAAAAGCAGAGGGCAGATGGTGAACATGGTTAGAGGATAGACAGGATATACTCTTTGCCACTAAAATACTGAGACTAATATTGATTTACAACTGTTTAAAAATAGAACAGGAAGACATCAAGGAGAGACCATTCCTCTGAGATGGGAACTTGAATTATATTTCTCTAAAGTAATGAGCAATGATTTTTTTTAATGCAGGGGCAGTAAATGTACAGATCTGGTTGCTACTCAAGGATTTCTTGGCCTAATAAAATGAAAGAAATTCAACCACAGAATCTGAATCACGTTGCTCTGGAGCCTGCACGCCCTGGATGGCGAGCCGTTCTTCTAGCTTAAACTGCTTTTGGCTGGCTGGGCTGTTTGCACCGTTGAAACTCAGTTCACTGTACTTTGGAGTTTTGGTTGGCTTTTATGTGTGGACTTGGATTGCGTGCAGAGATTTCTTCAGAGAAACTAGGCTGCCTGATTCTTTCTCTTTGAAAAATTTTTTCTCCATTACTGGCTATGGACTTCAATCTCTTGTTTTCAGGCTGATGCTTGGCATTCCTTTATGGAAGCTTTTATGTCAAAGCCTTAAGACCTTTGCAGCTTAGGCACTCCTGAGCTGAAGACAACAGAGTAAGAAAAGTGGTCAGAGGAGAAATAAGCTGAGGGGTGTCTGGTTCTGGGCAAGAGGAGTTGGCACACTTCACCCAGTGTCTCCCAGGAAATGCCACTATCAAACCTGGGCAGAACACACAAGACAGCAAGGGGGAGATGCTGAAAAGCAAATGGTTGCAAGAGAATGAGGGAAGGACTTAGAATTCAAAGCTCCCAGGACCTGTGTGGTTTGTTTCTTGTTTTTGCCCTGGATTCAAGGCAGCCTGAAACCCAGAACGGGGCCTGAAGGCACCTAGTTTTGCTCTAGGAGGTGGGAAAGGAGACTCCTCATGCTGAGAGAGGAGTACATCCCTGCTGTTCTTGGTTTCTTTTTATTTTCTCCATCCTCTCCTGCCTCAGACCCATAGGATTTTGAAGTAGGAGCAGTGAGGGGGTTGGGAGTAAAGAACCTCAGTCACCCTAAACTTTGAGGAAGGGGATCCTTCCTTTCTGATCAGAGGAGGTGTGGTTCCCAGGGGGTGGAGGAAACTCATTGCTTTCTTCCTCTCATAGTCCTGCTGATGCGTGATCCCGAGTTCAGTGTAGGAAGTGCACAGAAAAGCAGGGTAACTAAAGCCCAGGCATCTGGGAGGACCGGGGAGATCACGGAGACGGAGGGGCTCCAGACAGCAAGCCTGCAAGGTTGTTCATGAACTTCCAAGTTCATCCCCGAGCTGCAGGGATGGCTCTGACCCTAACTAGTATGCCAGCGTGTGGAACGGAGCCCCAGGAAAGACCTGCACCCTGTCCCAGACGGCCACTGGGTGGCGCACATGGGACAGCTGAACTGCACTGCAAAGTCAAGACTGATCTGACCCCCAGAATCACACAACCCACAGAAGGCAGGTTGGAATGTGAGGTCTGAACCCGACCTAATTGATCACTTACTGTATCAGTTATCAACATATTGCCTTTCAGCTCTGAATGCACCTTTCAGTGTGTGTATTCTGTGACATACAGTGGAATTCCTTTAAGTATTTGTCTTTTAAAATGGACACCATGTTAAAATTTCTCAGTAGGAAGACAGTGTGGTTGGTAGGAAGAAGCTTCCTGCCTTTCCCATTGTGGGCAAGGGATCAGCACTGTGAGACATTTATGGAAGCCTGCGCCAGCCAGGGGCCCGCAACACGATCTTTTGCAACCTGGCAGTCTTGGCCAGCAATAACCTTTCTGCAGCTCTCTTGACCCCCAAAATAGAGCCCTCGTATAGTCTGTGTGCTCTGAAGGCCTCCTGCCCATGCTCATACCTGGACTTTCTCTCAAGCTTCCACGTGGCCTGCACACAGCCTCCTGTGGTCCGAAGGGCCGCACACCAAGCTTCCACGCCTTCTGCAAGTCCCTGCGTAGGCCACTCTCAGCAGTCCTCTTACCCCTGCCAACACCTGACTCCCACTGCCTGCCCTTGCCATCAGTTGCTGGTCAGCTGGCCTTCCACCTGCACTCTGGGGGTGGTCTATTAGTAGCCTGACCAAACTAGAGGACTTCTCTGCTATCTGGTGGGCTGAACTACAGCTTCTAAAATGAGGTCTGAACCTCTGTCTCAGATACTCCCCGTTTGCTCTGGGGTACAAGTGGAAAGATGGAAAGTATCAGCGAAGTAATAGAAGACATAAAGAACATGAAATAGACAATAATGGAAATAAAATACTTCCTAGATAAGCTCATAAACAAAATGGAGATGACACAGAGAAGGTTAAGAAAGTTGAAGATAAGTTGCTGGATATTACTGATGTGAAAAAAAGAGATTAATAAAAAATGAACAGGGCCTCAAGAATCTACAGAACAGTATTGAAAGGCCTAATATTTGTGTTATCATTGCCTCAGAAGGAGGGGAGAAAGAGTGCAGTGCAGAAAAAATAGTTGAAGAAATAACTGATGAAAATCCCCAAATTTGGCAAAAGGTAAAACCTACTGATTAGAGGAGCTAGGAAAATCCCAAACAGAATACACCCAAAGAAATCTATGCCCAGATTCATCATAATTATACTGAGGAAAACCAAAGACAAAGAAAAAATCTTTGAAAATATTGAGAGAAAAATGATGCATCACCTGTGGGAAAATTATGATTCAAATGACTGCAGATTTCTCACCAGAAGCTATGGAGGTACAGTCATTTTAAAGTGCTGAAAGAAAAGAATTTTGTCCACTGAGGATTCTATATCCAGCAAAAATAATCGTCAGGAATGAAGGTGAAAAAAAGGTATCCTCAAATGAAAGAAAACAGAATTTTCCAGCAACTTCCTCTAAAAAGAATTGTTAAGGGAAGGAAGATTTTTAGGCTAAAGGGAAATGATAACAGAGGGAAACTCAGGACAACAGGAATGAAGGAAGAGTAACAGATGTGGTACCTATCAGGGCAGATATCATGGGCCAGCTTTCTCCTACTGAGTTCTTTAAAATAAGTTTGATGATTGGAAGCCCAAAATATAACATTGACTGATATAACACAGAGGACAACTGTAACTTAAAGGTGAGAGCGTAAGGGGCCTATAAGGTAGTAAGGCTTCTACATCTCACTTAAAGTGGTAAAATACTGTTTCTAAGTAGACTATGAGAAGTTAAGCATGTATCTTATATTTCCTAGGGCAACTGTGATAAAGAAAAGGCTATACAAAGAAACATGGTAAAAAACACAATAGAGAAAATAAAATGGAATATTAAACAATGTTCAGATAACACAAAAGAAGGCAGGAAAGTGTAAAACAGAAAAAAAAAAGAAAATGAATAATAAGTTAATTTAGACCTAAATGGTAGACTTCAATGCAAACCTGTCAGTAATTACATTAAATGTAAATTGCCTAAACACACCAGTTAAAAGACATTGTCAGAATGGGTTAAATAAATGATCCAACAATATGCTGTCTATAAAATATCAAACATAACCATATAGTTAGGTTAAAAGTAAAAGGGTGGAATCAAGAAAGTGAAAAGACAACTCACAAAATGGGAGAAAATCTTTGCAAATCATATATCTGGTAAAGGACCTGTATCTAGAATGTATAAAGAACTATTACAAGTCAACAATAAAAATACAAATAGCCCAATTAAAAAAGGGGCAAAGGCTCTGAATAGACATTTCTCCCAAGAAGATATACAAATGGCCAACAAGCACTTGAAAAGATGTTCAACATCATTAGTCATCAGGGAAATGCAAATCAAAACCACAATGAGATACCACTTCACACCTACTGGGGTGGCTATAAAAAAAAAAGTGTTGAGAGGATGTGGAGAGACTGGCAGGAATGTAAAATGAGGCAGCTGCTTTGGAAAACACTGGCAGTTTCTGAAAAGGTTCGACATAGAGTTATCATATGATCCTCAATTTCACTCCTATGTATTTACCCAAGAGAAATGAAAACAGATGTCTACACAAAAACTTGCACCATTTGCTTCTTTGTTAGAAATCTCCTTCAGGTAAAAGCATTTCAAGAGAGACAAAAGACACTCTCAGATGTCAGAAATTAAAGGAAAGAAAGGAAAAAATTGGGGTCAGCATTTTAGCTCTTTACACTAAAATTATGGACCACAAATGTTCAGCTGCACAAACATGAGCCAATTTCCCCACCTTATTGGCAAGCCATTAATGGCGAGTACACACCTGAGTCAGAAGATTAAATATTTGGTTTTGCATCCCCATTGACTGCTATTTAGAAGTGTCTGGAATTGGAGCAGAGAACATTCAACAGCCCTACTATTTGCCAACCGACACTCTATGTGTTTGTGCAGATCAGGAAATGGATTTAACCATATTTCAATGCCGTAGGTAAGGGGAGTTTAAAACAATCTCTAGAAAGCTATTTTCCTTACATAAGGGAAATAAGTATAGCTCAGTGGAATCAACATTGGAATGAGTGTACTTTTAATGTTCTGATAATTTTTTTCAGTGAGCAAATAATCACCTAAAACACAATAAAGATGAATTGCGAAAATAAAAAGAAGAGAGAAAGCTCATTGAATGGTCTGAGAGTGAAGCAGTCTGGATGCAAATCTTTTATTCACAATTCATTAATTCATTCAACAACTATTTATGGAGGGCCTACTATGTGCCAGGCACTATGCTAGTTCTCATTAAGATGGGATGGCCAAGACATACGTGAGTCTGACTTTCCTTGTACTTGGAAACCCACATGAACAAAGGTCAGCAGCTTGTAAGGGTTCATGTTGCAGGGGAACCTCACAGAGCTGTCCCCAGGCTGTGTGGTCAGTCCCAGGTGGGAAAGTGCTCAGCGGGGCTTGGTGCAATGTTTGCTTTTGTTACTTAATGGTGGCTAGTGTGTAGTCTCAGATAACCAGGCACGTGAGTGCGTGTGTGTGTTCTGATTAGCTCATCAAGCTTACCCTTGAGTATGTTACAACATACTGGGAAGATTGATGCTTGTAAACTCAACAGACTCTGGAACCATGATGTTGAGGAATTCCCAGGGGGCTTTGGGAACCCACAATTCAGCTGATGGGTAGGGAGACAAGTGTGATTTCTAGAAGAGATGACCCAAGCGTGCGTGTTGCACTTTCACTTACACAGAGTACTAGTAGACCTCGAGAACATGAGCAAACTGCCATCCTGGAGGTAATAAGGCATTTCATCATTACTTACGATGGTGGATTCATTCACATTTCCTTTGGAAGTTCATGGTGAAACTGTTTTCTTCTGTATGTGTATGAAGTTGACACCTATATGTTTTTTAAATAGGTAATTTCACGCCCCCAAAATGGGACATAAAGTGGTCGTATTTGACATTTCTGTCGTCAGAGCTTTGTGGGAAACGCGTGTCAAGAAGCACAAAGCTTGGCAGAAGAAGGAGGCAGAAAGGATCGAGAAAAGCTCGCTGGAAAGGTATGTTTTTTTCCTGCACTTGCTGGTAGGGTCTTTAGCAAATAGGGACCCAGGTGGGCAACAGTTGTGTTGTGGATGGTGGTGCCTTTCTTCTGGGGTTTCTCACTGTCCACAAGACCTGCTCACGGGACTTCAGAGCCTTCACACTGTTGCCCAGAACGAACATTGATTCCTATAAAGGAATACCCATAGCTGTATGGACCCACATACATTCCCGGCACCGTGCTAGGCACGGGGAAGCCAGCGATGACATGGTAAATTCCTCTCCAGGTGATTCTGTAGAAGACTGCTGAGCTGGCCCCCTAGGCTGACTTTGAGGCGCTCCACACCCGTGAGAGCTGTGTGACGGCTGCTCTCTGTCACGTACCTCAGCCCTCACCCGTGAGCTGAATGCTAGATAAGACTCACTGTGTTGATGCCATTTCTACTTGGCTTGTAATTTGACTGCTCTTAGGTAAACTCATGAAGCATGAGTAAAAGAGAGATATCGTGTAGATGAAAAACTAAGTTGAGTGCTTTGGAAAAACTACATGTGGGATAAATATGAACCACATGATTGAATTAACACTGTACAAGATTGATGAAAGTATGACAAACTAGAAAGGTTGCATATCCAGGAGGCTTTGCAAGTCTGTAGTTTTTATCCTCTGTGAAGAAACCAAAACTGGAACTCTTGGGTGATGCATTATGGGTGTGGTTTATCGGAAAGGCAGAATGGGATTCTGATGGGCAGATCCATTCTCGAAGGGAGCCCATAACCCTATACCAAGTTGGTAAATGGTGATGTATTCTTATGTTCTAAGTTCAGAACAAAGTGTGTAAGGTGTGAATGTTTCTTTTTTTTGCTCTCTACTTTTATGAACTATTTGGATCAAACAAATACCTATTCTGATCATGCTTGATAATTAAGCTGCTACTGTAAGTATCACGGCTGTTGCAGGTGGTGGTTATCATTGTCCCCAGTTTGAAGACAAGAGAGTTGGGACCTAAGCAGCTTGCTCAAGTTGAGACAGTTGGCAAGTGGAGGGTTTGGCCGAGCCATTTCCCCAACATAATGCTGGAATCACAGATAGCTGGAACTTATTTTCACTTGCCACTTAGCATCTGTACTGCCTCAGGCCCTGTAGAGACCAGGGCTGCAACTGCAGCCTGTTTCTAAAGTAGCCCCCTTCTAGCAGACCTGCCTCCTGCCTGCCAGCAAGTCCCTAGAGTCGGATCTGGATGCCTTCCTGAGCGTGGAATTCACCAAGTTTCTGTCAAGGGCTGGCTCCCCATTTTGAGACAAGGCCTGTGTCTCATAGCTTGGAATGAAAACTACAATGAATCCTGTTTTTGTACGGCAAAGAATATTAGCCTGTTAAAGGCTCCAAGCAGATAGCAAATCCCTAAATGGAGAAATGCCCACCACGTGCAAACGTGCAAAACCCTGTTCTAACGCCTGCACTGGCATCCAGAGGGCAGCAAGACGTGATCCATAGCCTTCATGGAACTTACGATCAAGTTGGCGGGATAAGGCATACATGTGGAACGTTATAAAATGATAAGTCAGAAAATTAGCAACAAGAAGGTGCTGAGGACTGGTGGTGGGGGGCCCGAAGCGCCCCGAGCCAGCTCAAGTGTCTGACTGGGCCAGCAGTTTATGAATAACAGGTTCACTTACAGAAGTGAAATTTCCCAAGGTGGCTGATGGATGACATTCTAAAGTTAGGTATTTTGTAAACTGGGGCTGCCTATATATTTCTATCCAAATGCTCTTGAAAGATCAGCAAATTCCCATGGCCTTGCATTTTTTATAAAATTTGGATTGGCACACTGTACTATCAAAGGAAATTGTAATTAATAAAAAAAATACTTAGGTAATTTTAGGAGAAATTTTGGCCGGGAATTCCATCTAAGTCACCTTCTCTACTTTTTTAAGTCAAGTTGCTAATAATTCACAACTCAGGGTTTAAGGTTCCGTTTCCACTCCCCATGGCAGAGGAAACAAGAAAGGAGGGGCAGGGAGAAAGTGAGGGGCGGGGAAATCGCCCGCTAAGGGAAAGCCTGCACCTGCGCGCAGGTGGCCTTCTCCAGGCTGGTGATGGCAGTGCGGCGGAGAGTAACTGCGGCCTCTGCTGGGCGTTTTAGGATAAAGGAGGAATGGAACTTCGTGGCGGAGTGCAGGAGGAAAGGCATCCCTCAGGCTCAGTACTGCAAGAATGGCTTCATAGACACCAGTGTGAGGATTCTGGAGAAGATGGAAAGGAGCTCTCTCATAAGGCAGAGCTCACCTTCCAAGGAGAGAGACAAAAAGAGCAGCGCGTTTGTGTTCGAAATTTCGGGGGAGCACTGGAAGGTGAGTCCATGTGTTCCTGTATCTGCAGCCAGTGGACACTCAGTGCAGCTCTGCGGCTGCTGTCCACTGCTAAGCTGAACTCAAGGCCTCGGCCTTGGCTGAGTGAGCACTCTTGCTTGACAGAATGGGTCCTGAACCGGGTTTTCACGTCTCCTCCTCCATGAAAGGCAGTGTACCCCTGGAAAGAGCAGCTGGGTCCACTCGGATCCCTCCCAGGCCAGGGCAGCGGCTGGGACTCCAGCGGCCCTCCCCAGGATGGCACAGCCCTTAAAATGCCTCAAGTTGCTGTCTTTCTTCCAGACGTTTAAAATAACCCTTTGCCTTTTTTTTTTTAATTTTTTTTTAACAAATGGAGACTTTCACTTATCTAACACCCCTCAGTGGGTGGTGACTTTTGCTGACTTGCCGCAACAGAGAAGCAGGGGAATTTCCGCAGACCCATTAGCTGGTTTTCCTCCGAAATTCTGAGGCCAGGACAAAGATGTCCCCTCTTTCTTCCCACCTGTTTACAGGTGCTTCCTGCTGTCACTCCCCCAGCCTGCTACTTTGCTTGACAAGGCATGTCCAGGGTTGCCTACCATCTGCTGTTTCCAGGTTGGAGCGGCACCTGGCTTGGGATTGCCATGGGCCAGTGAACTCTGGCTGTTGTCCATTTCTGTGGGACAGGGTTCTCTGGGACCTGCCCTCCATCTCTTATGAGCCTGGGGTGAGCTTTCCTGATGGCCTAGCTCTTCATTTTGTCTCAGCCGCAGGAGGACACCATCAGGTCTGGTGTGGGCTGCGTTCAGATCAGGAGGCGCTGAGATGGTTTTGCCGAGGCTGGGTGCTGGGGGCGGGGTTGCACAGGGCCCCTAGCTTGATTGAATGCCCTGCTGCCACTGCTTTGAAATTCTTAATAAGTTTTAGCAGGGGGCCTGCATTTTCATTTTGCACTAGTTCCTGAAACTTCATAGCCAGTCCTGACCCTAAGTGACTTATTTAAATATCTTTGGGTTTTGGTTTCCTCTTTCAAATGGGCCTGAAGAATGCCCACTCTGCTGACCTTATGGGACTAACGTGGAATCGTATTTCATGTTATGGGCGAAAATACTTTTGTAAGTAAAAAGCTTAACCCATGTATCCAATAGCAAAGCATATTACAAGTACCGAGTGCTAAGAAAACGGGCCACTGTGGACTTTCTGATGGCCACCTCCCCTCTGCACACCTGCCACTCTTTGCTGATGGTGCGCTGTGGTCAGCTGTGTGAGATCAGGAAACACGTGTGCTGTCCGCATCTTGGTTCCATCCCTTCAGTGCTGAGCACAGCTCACTTGCACGGGAGGGTTGGGTAGACACGTGGTGAACCAAATTTCTTCAACCAGACAGATAGCCCCCCCTCAAGTCAACACCGTCTCTGTCACTTCAGACGCGAAGGCCCAGGGGGATGGTGAGAGCCTGGACAGGACCGAGCGTGGCCTGGAATCCTCGCTGCCTTTCTGGTGCTCTTTTCTTCTTCCAAACGCAGAGAAACATTTAGAAATTTGGTCCAGCAAATATTAGATGTTTATCAAGTATTTTTAAAGGCAACAGAGGGAGGGAAATGCAGTGCACATTTAAAAATCTAATGCACGGACAGGTTTTATTTTTAGTAGATGTTAAATTGGGACGTTGTAAGTAAACAAGTTATGTCATGGCTGTGGGCGTGAGCCTGGTTGTCTGTGTTCACCAGGTTTTGATTTCAGTGATGTCATGACTTCCCGGCAGTTTTGACAATGGCTGACCTGCTATTGTGAGATTAATGACAACTACAGCGTCTCTGCTTTGTTTTTGAAATGGCTGGGAAGCTGGCAATGAAGTCTAATGCTCTCATGTGTGCTCTCTTGCTTCTGTTTTTTTAAATAAATGCATGGTTTTCCTTGACTCTGTGCACACTGCCACTCATTTCCACCGTTTTGAGGACCTAGCACTGACTTCCGTAACTCATCTATTTTAGGCGCTCCCGGATTCGTTGAAGGAGCAGACGCACCTGAAAGAATGGCATGTCAGCAATACCCTGATTCAAATCATTCCTACGTATATTGAGCTGTTCCAAGCGATGCGAGTTCTGGATCTGCCAAAAAACCAAATCTCCCATCTTCCAGCTGAAATTGGTATGTTACTTGGCAGGAGGCTTCAGGCCTCACGTCTGGTAAGCAGGCAGCTGGTGAGCAGGTGATGCTGTGAGAGCTGCTTCCTCCTTCTGCCCCAAGAAGGTGCCAGGCAGGGCTGTTTCCTGTGTTCCTAGTGCTGCTTGTCCACAGTGTCCCTTAGTTGTTCAATTACAAAAACAATCACATGTTTGTTGTAAACATAAAATACAATGTGTTGTTCCCATACATTAGTCCATTGATAAGTTTAGTTTAGCTTATTATGTTCTTTTTTTAAAAAAATTTTATTGGGGAAGGGGAACAGCCAAGTCGTTGTACTTCAGTCTTAGTTGTGGAGGGCACAGCTAGCTCAGCTCTAAGTCCAGTTGCCATCCAGCCGCCCATTGGCAGCTCAGGGCCTCTCAGCTCAAGGTGTCGTGTTCAGTCTTAGTTGCGGGTGGGCCACCATCCCATGTGGGAGTCAAACTGGCAACCTTGTTGTTAGGAGCACGTGTTCTCACCAGCTGAGCCATCCTGCCACCTGGTGGCAGCTCAGTGGCAGCTCAGCTGGTACGCAGCTCACTGGCTGAGGTTGGAATCGAACTGTCAACCCTGTTGCTCAGAGCTTGCGCTCTTAACCAACTGAGCCACTTGGCCGGCCCTTATTATCTCATTTTGATCAACACTTTATAATTCTCAGTCATTTTGTTGTTGACGACCACAGTGATCATTACTGCTTCTCTTTCTCTTGGGGTGTGAGGCGTGAAGGTCTGGGGGCTGCACAGAACTCCATTCTTACGGCGCATGCTTAAAAATAGTGGTGTGCCACACTCATGTGAAAATTCGCTCGAAGCCAGGATGGTGTGAGGCAGAAGGTGGATTGTTGGGCTTCTGGCACTTGAACATATCTTGCTGGATGTGCCAAGACTGCAAGGCCCTGACCACCTTTATACCCAGGCTGGGATGAGGTGACGTCACCCTGACGAAGAGCAGACTTGCTTACTGCTTGCTATAAAATGAAAGACATTTATTGCTCACTGTTCTGGAGACTAGAAGTCCAAGATCAGGGTGCCAGCCTGTTTGGGTGAGGACTCTTTTCTGGGTTGCAGGCTTCACCTGGCATCTTCACATGGTTACAGAAATCATTAGTGTGGTCATGTGCTCCCCAGGCCTCCCCCAAAGAGAAACGGTCTCTATTTTATATTAGCCCCTTTATCCATCCTGCTGCTTTGACTGCAATACCTGACTATATAAGGCTTGCAGTGTGTCCCAGGTGGGTACGTTAGAGGGCCACTGACTTCCACAGCATTACCTTCCTTATCTTCTAACAAACAGTGAGGCCAACAAAATTGACTCAGAAATGGCCCTGCCTCCAACATATTGTCTTTGTATGTTTTCGTTTCTCATTTATAAAATGGCAAGAGATTTGTATTTTGACTGCCTGCTCTACAGAAGTAAACACTAATTTCGGTTTCCTGATTTAAAACATTAGGTTATTACGTACACTCAAGTGTTAAATGCCTTAGAACATTCTTGACATGATTTTTGAAATATTAGCTATGTTTGCTCTTGTGATAGTTTCTGGTTTGGAACTGGTTATGTCTTGATTCAGTCAGGACAGACTTGGGTTTTTCTTGATTGAATAAATGCAGTGTTTCTCCATCAATCCAAGTGTTGCCTGTTATTGTGTGTTCACTTCCTGCCTGTGAAAGGGACTTTCTTTTTTAAAGCATATTATTTAGAAAGCATAATATGTCATAAGTAAATCATTGTAAATATGAAGCCAAAGGTAAATGAATTCAATGCACTCTGTATAAATAATCTACTTGTTTGAATCATTCACCACGTACATAAAGCTTTGTGCCTATTTCGGTACCCGCCTCACTTCTTGTTAGATAGGACACAGCTGATCACTGTGCTTTCTGGGAGCTGTACCACTCTTCAAAGCCATTGCCTGTTATTTCATTCATCATCTAATTGCAAAGGGGTTTGGACTCTGGTGTGGGGGCCTGACCCAAGCTTCGTGGAGGACAAATCCACCACACTCACCTCACCTATAGTCTCATGAAGGGTTAAACAGGTAAAGCGTAAGAAAAAAAATGCTCTGCTCAAGGACCAAAATACTCAGGATAAATGATGAGCAGACATTTAATAAAAAGTGCTTAAAAAACAAGTACACAATTATGTTTAATGCCTTCCCCATCATCATTCATACAAATGTTTTGCATCTTCTTTTTATTTTCTGTTCTTAAAAGACCTTAAGGGACCTACACCATGGATGTTAATTTTTTTTTTCTTTTTTCTGATGACAGGCCGTTTGACGAACCTGAAAGAACTCAATGTGCGTTTCAACCATCTGAAAAGCATTCCTCCAGAACTGGGAGACTGTGAAAATCTAGAGAAACTGGATTGTTCTGGAAATCTAGAGTTAACTGAGCTCCCCTTTGAAGTAAGAGAGTAAACATTTTTGCACTACGATTTACTTTTATTTGGCTTGTGACATGGAATAGTCTATAATATGGGGAAGAAGTTTTAAAAGATGAAATCTATTTTTATTATTTCACATTCTCCTGTCATTTCAGTCACCCTATATCAGCTATTATAAGGTCTTTAAAATGTTCTTACACTAGACCAGAAACTGAATTTAAGTTCAGAAATGCTATAGAAGGAAAACTAGGCAAAATATCCTATTTTCATATAAGATATTTTTATTTAATGCCTATTTAATGTATGATGCCTGTTGGTTATAATACAGATCCTGATTTATTTGTCCACAGGTGGAATAAATTGGAAACAGTTGGGAATAAATAAAGGGGGTACAATTTTAAAAAGTTTTATATATTCAACAAAAATTGTAGGTAACTAAAGTAGTCCTACAGACAGGATTTAGGAAGCCCATTAATTTAAAAATATTCATTAATTTCTTTTGGTCTGTATTTATTGGAGAAATGATTTAAAATCATTTTCTGATAAAATGGAGCTGGAGCAGATGAAAATGAACAGTTTTTATTGCCAAATAAAACTCAACAAACTTCTTGTGCTGGAGATAAGAATCTACTGTTCATTCTGCTGGTAATGAACAGGCTAAAAATAGTATTGCTCGGGAGGAAGGTTCTGACAAGGCCCTGGCCGCTGATGATAGTCCTAGAAGGGGTGTTAATCTGCTTTCCTGAAAACTTCTGGGTGGGAGGAAGTGGCTGCTTCTACTATCAGCATCCATCTCACCCTAAGAAATGCCAGACAGTGGTCCTGGTGAAGTGTCACCTCTAGGGGTCATGACCCCCTGCACAAGTGTCAGCTTCTAGTCCTCCCCAGTTTAGAAAGTGGCTCAATCTTCTCTAGCTGTTCAGGCTGGAAGCAAGCCAAGTCATCTTTGACCTCTCTTGCTCCCACACCCATATCCACTCTGTAAGTCACTCCTATTGGGCGGGCCCTCCAGAACATGTTATCTGACCACTGCCTAGCACCTTTCCACCAACATGCTAGTCCGAGCCAATGTTGTCTGTCATCTGGGCTGGGACAACAGCCTCTTAGGCTGGTCTCTGCCTCTTCTTGTCCTTTCTCCACCTTTACTGAGATACCATTTGCATACTATAAAATTCACCCATTATAAATGTACATTTCACCGATTCAGTTTTAAGACATTTCCATCATCCCCTAAGAATGTTGTCTTGCCCATTTACTACATAAAATTGTATTGCTTACCTATGAAAGCATCAGCTCTTCAAGGGCAGACACCGTGTGCAATTTATCGTAGCACCCCCAGCATGTTGCACAGTGGTCCAAAATGCTATGCACTCCTTTGATCTGTTTTGCAAATATTCATAGAAAAATGCCTTTGGGAGGAAACATCAACTTAAAAATTTTTAGTCGAACTTAATTCCCACTCTTACAAAAGTAATTAGAATATTTTGTTGTTCCTTTCTAGTTAAGTAATTTGAAGCAAGTTACATTCGTAGATATCTCAGCCAACAAGTTTTCCAGTGTCCCAATCTGCGTCCTGAGGATGTCTAATTTGCAGTGGTTGGATATCAGCAACAATAGCCTGAATGACCTGCCACAAGATATAGACAGGTAGCTACTTGAATTCTGAAGGTGAGGTATATGGATTAGTTGCCCACATCTAAAACACTGCTGGCATTTTAAATATGCATAACATTTGAATGTTCATTGAAATCAATGAATGTTCCAGAGTTCATTGTTTCTAGGAAATGAATTTAGTTCTTTATATAATAAGACAATTTCCTGTCTCCATCATACATATACATGGATATATGTGTGCATTTGAACACATCTTCATCGTCTTGGTGAACTTTCATTTATTATAAAATTTTATAGTACATTAATTTTAATTTATAGTCCCCAGTAGAATGGCATCAGAAGTATAAAGAAAAGTAAAATTATTATATATGGAATAGAAACGTATCACTCTATATTTAGAATATCAGTGAGGATAATTTTTACTAGTTTCATTGATTTATTGTAAGTAATCTTTCAAATGAAATTGATAGGCTTAATAAGCTTTTCAAATTATATTCTTATAGCTGTTTCATGTTTAAAAATAATTATTACACTGAATCATGTAAGGTCCATTCATTCATTCCACCACTATTATTAGGCTCCTGTATGGCAGGTCCAGAGAGTGGGCTGGGTTTGAAGTGGTGAATGAAATAAAATCTCTGGCCTCCTGGAATCCACAATCTTCTTTATGAAGTAGCGTAAGTCAGCTGTCATGACACAGAAGCCTAAAATGGCTCAGTCCCGAAGGCCATCTCCTATGACCTTTTTCTACTCCTGGTACATATGATATGTATTGATGTTTTCTAGGTTTGTGAGACTAAATGGAATTGTTTCAGTTTGAAACACAAGGGGGAACTTTGTGAAATATTTGTGGGATCAGTCAAGATTTTGCAAATGAATGAAAGAAAAACCTGGAAGGAGGAGTCACTGGGTTAGAATAAAATGGAAAACAGAGTAAAACGTATTTGGAGCATAGTTTGCTCATTTCCGTTTCACTGTGCAGTTTCCTTCCTATTTTAAAGTTAGAAAATATGATGAGAGAATAATAACTGTGCTTTCAAGACATACAAAAGGAAATATGTTACCAACATTTGTTTATTTTCACTCCAACTCTAGTATGACTTCTTTCCCCTGTCCCGTTCACCCTTGGAATAAGGCAGACGCTTGGAGGGATATGTTGATGTTTTTTAGGACCCATCACGGTCACGGCCTATTGTATACTGTGCAATTTGCTTTTGCTACTACTATATCTATGTCTTCAATCGGCAATGAAGTCAGTAAAAACTTAAAAAAAATTGTGTCACCTGGCATGACTTTAGTTATTTAAATGTTAAAGTTTATTCTCATAAGGGTTACATATTAAAAAAATAGACTAAGTAGGAATTTCCTAGAATTTATTTGTAATTCACTCTGGTTTTCTCAGCTATGAAGTTAGGTCCTTGTGTTCTGATCCCTTTTCCATCTTCTTAGGCTGGAAGAACTGCAGACCTTTCTCTTGTATAAGAACAAGCTGACCTATCTTCCTTATGAGTTGCTTAATCTCAAGAAGCTCACCTTGTTGGTGGTTAGCGGCGACCATTTGGTGGAGCTCCCGACTGCTCTTTGTGACTCATCTACCCCGTTAAAGTGAGTAGACCAGACATCCTAGTACAGACACATGCAGACACCAGGTAAAAAGCGAGGAGCGCCTGGAGCCTGGCCGCCTGTCTCAGGAACCAGATGAGGTGGTTTTTGTACTCTGAGCACCTGTTCCCAGTTCTCAGGAGTTCTGATGTCTTTGTACAGGATTTTGAAGTTTTTGGCCAATGACAGGGGGAGGCAGAGCTTATAGGATTGCTGGACAAATGCTACGTGCTGGTTGAAGGTTCAGCAGGGCACATGCCCAGGGCTTCCGGGTCTGTCAGTGAGCACTCGCATTGCCGCTGGCCTGGACGCGTCAGTGGCTGTTGAGTCCTCCCCAGTTGCCTCACCCTCTTTGGTTTCCTTAAAGGAACCTACAGACCACCCCAACCAAGGAAAACTATCCATGCAAATGTGATACAAACAGATTCCAATCTGGGATGAGAAGCTGAACCGTCTTTCTTACCTTGGAAGTGGACTTGAAAAGCCCCATCTCCATCGTCCCCTGAAGAAGACTCTAGGGCACATCCCCTTAGCTCTCTGTTAGCCGTCCTGCCGGAATTTGGGTCTTGGGGGCTCCCCTATCGCCTCTCCCCTGAGACCACTTTGGCCCATCCCTGGGAGCTTGAGGCCTCCCCGAGAACCTTCACATGAGGCCCCTCCAATGAGAACCATGCCCTCGCTGTGTCCCCAGACCCGTCTGCCTTGAACACCAGTGCTTGTTCAAACCACCTCTCAAGGGAATATTTCCCTGGGACTCCCAGTTCTTTCAGTGGCAAATGCTCACTAGCAGCATACATCTTTCCTACCTTCTGGTCCTCATAATAAGATGCATAGAAAACAGAAATAAAGAGGGTAACTTGCAAAGACAGAGACTAAATTCATTCCTGTATAAGCACAAGATTAACAGGGGTATAACATCTTCTGCCCCCTGCCCCACCCTACTCCTTCCCCTGGAATAGGCCTTCCACTGTCCTTGGCTGGCTTAGGAATGCCGTCTGGATAAGAGAGGCCCACTGGTGGAAGGGGTAGCAGGACCCACCCCAGAGCCCCTTATACATTTGGGTAACGGGGAGCAGGCATAGAAGCCTCACATCCAAGGGCAGCAGGGGGACCTCTGGTCAGGGTAAAACTGTGACCTGTGTGCAGGTGACTAAAGTCATTTCGAACAATGTAACTCTAGGACTTGGAGATCTAAGGGAATCAGATAGAAGGTCTTTGAGTTAATAACAGTTCAATAAAAAGACTAGATATAAATTTGCATTAAAAATTCATATATAAGATATATGAGATATAGAAAGATAGCTAAATAAAGACACAGATTAAAGAATAAGAAATGCCATGTTAATGATGGTGGATTGACCACGTATTTAACACCCATCATTCTTGAGTCCCCATTAAAATGAGGTAAAAAACAAAAAAAAACATCTAGTCCTATAACAATGGAGAAATCAGAGGAAGGCCTTCACAGAATGAGAGCTCTCAACACATTTCCGGGAGATATATAGCAGATGGAACAGTGATGACCAATGAAATTCAGATGAAATAGGCTGATGCTGAGAGAAAAACCTCAAACTGAGCCTGTGAGCCTTGGAGAACTCTGGGGAAGCTTGATGGTCAGAAATTCCAGGCTCAGGGAACTGTAGACTGAGGCATGGTGCTAAAAACAGAAGGAAAAACAGAAATTTTCATATAAACAGGTGATCCCCCACCCTCCAATCTCCTCCTTGATTCCATTGGGCAGACAACTCAGCACCAGCAGTCCAGCTTTCTGACCCAAACCCTCAGGTTTTCTTTTGTGTGGCCCTGGGGGACTGGATTTAGAACCACAAAAGTTGACTTCCTATGAGGGAAATTTTGCAGTTAAAAATGCACAGGTGAGGGCTGGCCGAGTGGCTCAGTTGGTTAAGAGCTCGCTCAAGAGTTTGAGCTCTGAGCAACAGCGGTTCGATTCACAGCCCGAGCTGAGCAGCCGCTAAGCTGCCAACAGGTGGCAGGATGGCTCAGCTAAAAAAAAAAAAAAAGCACAGGTGAAAATGTGATATTGTCCATATTTTCTTGAATAGATTTGTAAGTCTTATGGACAATCCTATTGATAATACCCAGTGTCAAGATGGTGACGAAATGATCGAAAGTGAACAAGATCGTCAACACTTTGATAAAGAATTTATGAAAGCGTATATTGAAGATCTTAAAGAAAGAGGTAAGTTACTCATATTTAAAATTAAATGAATACACAGAATTCCATGAACTCATGTAACACATTTATTGATATGTCAAATTGACAAAACGTTAATGGGTTAGGAGCAGGTTACTTTGTAAATTATTTTTTCATTTGCCAAAAGCAATACGTTTCCTTGAAATATCCAATTTTCCTAGTGCACGCAAATGCTTGATACACCATCAAGTATTTGACAGAGAAGCATACATTTAAGATGTGAGGGCTGCATCATTAATTGTACATGAGTGTTCAAATGATGTTGACAAAGGAGTATCCTAGTTAATAGGAAAATAAGATTCCATTTCAAAATCCATTTCAATTAAACTTTAGAAAAAGTCATCTCTTCTATAAATCAAGGTACACCTGTATAAAAATCACAAAAGGGAAAACAAGATGATGGCAGATTAGTAAAAAGATCCATTTGGCTTTGGTTTTCCCCAAGATGGTGCTAATAGAGAGGATGGCAGTCACAGGACCTCAGGAGAAGGCAGGAAGTGTTTTTCCCAGTGGCTATTTCCAGAGTGTTCTGGAAGGCTTAGAGCCCCTTCCTCCTGTCACAAGAATACATAAACAGGAAAAAGGCATAAATCATTTTTTTGTTCTTCTAATCACCACCTCCTTTCTGGGTGTGGATGCCTGAGAGTTATCTCTGAATTTTTTCACTTCTCTTTTTTGGTACACATGGCATGTACCTGACAGAAAGATGTCATGCATGAGGCTTTAGGGAGGAGGTAGCCCTGGTCCCTATGACTTTGAAGACCACCTGAGAGCAGGTTTCCTCAATCACCCTCAGAAAATATGTATGTGACAACCCTCCTCCCGTTAGTAGATACCTGAAGACAATTCATCACATTGAGATATTAAGAGGTTTCATGACATGAATGAAAAATACCACTTATTTGGCAAATAAAATTTTTTCAACTAAATTAAGAAAATTTCTACACAGTTACCTCTAATCTAATAATCCCTAATCTTAAATGCTGAAATATTGTGAAATAATTTAGAAATTTACGTTAAACATAAAACTGAAGTAACAGAACCATTTGTTTGTCAAAATTTATCTTTGGGTTGTGTAATTTTCCTCATGTGAAAAACCCTATTGTTGTATTTTATTAATTTATTCCTAATTATATGTTAGTGCTGTTATGTAAAAATACAGGAAAGAATTAGAGAAAATAGATATTAAGCTTTGGCTGTATTGTGGCCAGTAATAAAAAATTTACTTTTAAAAATTAACTTTAGTGATGACAGATTGTGAACTCATTTACTTATTTCTAAATAATTATAATAATTCTATGCTTCATATATTCATATCAGGTTGAACCAAATGACATTGCCAATGTACAACTGGTTTTAACCCACAAAAATGGCGATTTTTTAATAGTTCAACCTATATGTGGTTGGGCATGTACTTTGAATTTTTTTGTTTGTTTTCTTTTCTTCATCATGGTGTCTTTCTTCTTTTCTCTCCTTCCCTATCTGATTCATGTCTCCATCAGTCACAGAGTCCATAGCTATAAGGAAGGAAAGATTTAGAGACTCCAACCTGTGTGATTCAAGAATGATGAGGAAGTGAAACCCCTCACTGGTCCTCAAATGTTAGTGAACATAAGGATCACCTTCAGGCCCCACCCTCAGAGTTTTAGACTCATCAGGTCTGGGGTAAGGCCTGAGAATGTGCATTTCTAACACGTTCCCAGGTGATATTGATGCGTTGGGTCTGAGAACCATTGGTGTAGATGATCCTGTGACAAAATTTGGCTGGAGAGAGAGAGAGAGAGAGAGAGAGAGAGAGCGAGAGAGCGCAGTGGGGAGAACAAGATTGAGAACAGGTCTACTTACTAACTAGGGACGTGCTTGATTTAGGAATAGCCCAAACGTCTCTTATAAACCATATTCCCTTCCACCTTGTACCCACAGTCCCAGGTTCTTGGCCATCTATTTCTACTTTGTCAACTTTTATTATTTTAGGGTCATACAGTTTCCAGGGTCCTGATACAGCTGTGTGAGTTGGTTGGAAAGCTTGCAAAAGAGCAAGCATTAATAATTCTATCTTATTCTCTCTTATATCTACGTATTTCTAAAATACAACTACGTTTGTGATGGTTGACTTAATGGTGATAAATACACTTATCTCTATAGAAAATATGAAGCAGCAATAATTTGTGTATTGATGTAAGCATGTAGTTACATTTCATAATGAAATGGAGAGTGGTTGAGTATATTTTTTCCTTGTGTTACAGAATCTGTTCCCAGCTATACCACCAAAGTCTCTTTTAGCCTTCAGCTTTGACACCATCCATCAGAAGACTGCAGAATCTCCCTGTCATGTGGAGCTGTCGATCTCCATTCATTTGTAGGGTCATGTGATCTAGGCATATGGCTTGTGCTTAAGGATGAAGTCTAGAAACTGTGGTCCTAATTGTTAGGAAAAATGATTTTCAAATTTCAAATATAGAAACACCTCTCTCTGTGGACTGGAGAATTGATATATGGGTTTGTATGTTGATATTTAAAAGTTCATTTGCATATACGTGTTTCCAGATAATGCACATTATTTTTTTAAAGTATAACTTAGACCAAATTCTGAAGTTGATTGCATTGTTTTCAGGAATCAAGGGATAAAGGGGTTGTGGAAAGAGAATTTATATTGGACTACTCAGATGAGAATTTATTTTATTTTGTTATTTTGAAGGCGTTTTAATTCTCAAAGTATCTCTTTGAGAATAATTTTCCTTGGGTTTATACAAACTGCTATTTCTGTTTGTTAAAAATTAAATTTTGGAAGTGTGGGCTCTCAGGAGAGACTTTAGCATAATCTACCTAAAGGTAGAAAGAAGGGCTGGGATGTCTGCCTGTGCTTTGGGCACGAAACAATCAGATGGTGTGCTGGCAGCCCTAGTGGAGGAGGTGTGGGTCTGGCTAGTCATGGGAAGCCTTGTGTGGCCTGCATGGATAGTCATCTTACCCTGAGCGGGCACCTTGGGGATCCTGGGACCCACTTGAGAACAGGGAGCCAAGGCAATGCCCTTAGGGAACCCCTCTAAGGAGGCCATAGAATGGGGCGGGGATGACTAGTCCACATTGGTGAGGGGTCCCTCGCAAGGCTCCCTCACAAGTACCACAGGAGAACTCTGCCCATGGCCAAGATGCCACGATCCAGAGGAAGCTATGAGACTGTGTTTAAATTGGCAAAGATGGGGTTCACTGGCAGGCTTTGGACTCTTACATCACATCGTATGATTTAGAGAAATTGTCCAAATATCTACTTTTATACCACTGCCTTGGGCTAAAATAAACAGGATGATATCTGTGTTGAAGATAAGCTTAAAAAGTAGCTTTTGGGGGTGGCCAGGTGGCTCAGTTGGTTAAAGCACATGCTCTGAACAACAAGGTTGCTGGTTCGATTCCCACATGGGCCAGTGAGCTGCGCCCTCTGCAACTAGATTGAAACAACTACTTGACTTGGAGCTGATGGGTCCTGGAGAAACACACTGTTCCCTGATAAAGTTAAAAAAAAAAAGTAGCTTTTGTGACTAAAAAGGAAAAAAATACGTACATTGACATATATTTATGTATGCATCGACTCCTATATGGTGTAGCCCAGCGATGTCCAATAGAACTTTCTGTGGTGATGGCAATATCCTATATCTGTGTGCCCAGTATAGTAACCACCAGACACGTGAGCTTCTTGAGCACTTAACAATGACTGGTTTGACTGAAAAACAAAATTTTAAATTTAATTTAAATAGCCACATATGGCTACCATATTGGACAGCATGGGGCTAGCCAGTTTGGTTTTTTGGTAACTAATCAGGGCTAAAAAACGAAGGGTGACTTTTATTTACTCTGATCTGAACAACCAGCCTGTCCCCAGAGGCATGCATTTAAAAGGGGCTACTCCTGACACTCTAATATTGTGTCTTCATGGGCCTAATCATAATTCCAAATATTTTATCCTCAACGTACGCATATGTAAAACAGGTAGAGCATTCTAAAACCACAGTAGAGGATTGCTTCAACTTAAAGACAAGCTCTGCGAGGTAGGTTAAAAGATGCAAAGAGCAGGAAAGTGAGAAATCACTTTAATTGAACCTCAAACAATTGTATTTTTCTTTTTAACTCTTTGACAATATAATTTCTATTGATTAGTTTTACTACTTGAATGATTTTGGAATTTTATTTGATGTCAAGGTTGTGCTATATTTGATTATAGTTAAATGGAAAATATGTCTGAAAAGAGGGGAAATGCAGGCTCTCGTGTAGGCATATTGACTGTCCGTAACTTATGTAAATTTTGTTTTTTAACACAAAACCCAGTCTTTTTGTGCAAAAACCTTGTCTTGGTGTTACATATCAATCAATAAAAAAGCACTGCATTGATATATAATTATTTAATATTACATAACACCCCAAACAAATATATTGTTGAATATGATGTTATAGATATATTATTTAATAATTTAGATAAATAAAAATACAGAAAGATTCTAAAATAGAATATGCATCTTGGTGGACATACAGAGATTTGAAAAAACATCACTTCATCTTGAATGAGCCTTATTTCCTCACCTGTAAACAACAGAGTTGGAGAAGACGATTTCTCAGGTTGATCCCATCTTTAAAATTTTACGATGCGCCTTTCACTAAAAGCCTGTTTTATATTGATGACCGAGCACGCCTTCCCCACATCACTGGTCACTCAGTGTCCAGCTACTTATGGGTCCTGGGATATGCTTATTTGTCTTACATGCTTGTTTCTTCGACATGTGCTTGGATCTGTCTTGTCCCACGATTACATTTTAAGTTCCTGGAGTTTGCTTAATATAGATATGTAGACTGTGCTTGGATGTTTGAAAATGAATAGCAGGTCTGTGAAGAATTTACCCGCGCATTTCTGTTGCGTTCCCAATGGTTATGTTTGTGTTGAGATGTACAATTATTATTTCTGATACTGCCTTGAAAGTGTAAACTTGCACCATAAAAATTTTTCTAGAAATGCAAATCAAAGACACAATCAGATATCACCTCATATCCGTTGGTTTGGCTGTTACATATATTAAAATAAAACAGAAAATATGCGTTGGCAAGAATGTGGAGAATTGTGCACTGATGGTGGGATTGTAAAATGGTGCATCTTCCGTGGAAAACAGGGTGGTGGTTTTTCTAAAAACTAAAAATACAAATACTGCGTGCTTCGGCAATTCCACTTATGGGTATATATCCAAAAGAAAGTAGAGTCTCAAATATTTGCACACCATGTTCATAGCAGCCCTACTCACAAGGCGAGAGGTGGAAGCAACCCAAGTGTCTATCGATGGGAGAATGGATAAGCAGATTGTGATCTATATATACACACAATGGAATGTTATTTAACCTTAAAAAGGAAGGAAATCCTGTCACATGCTGCAGCCTAGATGAACCTTGAGGACACTATTACTAAGGGAAGTATGCCAGTTACAAGAAGACAAATACTGTACATTTCTAGTAAGTGAGGTATCTAAAGTAGTCAAATTTGTAGAAACAGAAAGAAGAATGGTGGTTAGCTGGGCCTGGGGGAGTGGGGGAGAAGAGGGAAGTTGTTTAATGGTCATAGAGTTTCAGTTCTGAAGAATGGGAAGTTCTAGAGAGAGCTCCAGGGGAAGTTTTCGGGGTGCAGGCATGGGCTGGGCCAACCCTGTGCCTGTGGAAACAGCTGGAGTCCCTGGGGAGGGGGCGGGGAAAAGAAGCATTGGCAGTAAGCGACTATTGCTTTAATTTTAGCCACATAAACTGAGGGAGTCGTATTTCCAGATAAAAAAGATGTGGGAATGAGTCTTAAAATTATTCTCGTGAATCATCAGAATAATCTCATGAATAGCTTTTAAAAAAGCTACTGGGTTTCAGAATCCTGGTGAGAATCCACGCACACACTTCTATACTTGGTCCTGCAGAGCAGCCCCCATTCCCCAAGCCCCAGGGTTTTTAACTGTGAAACCCAGTCAATGAAAAATGGAGCAGATGCTCCAAATGGGTATATATTTATTTCTTTATACAGCATATCACTATTTGACTCTACTAACATATTCACATACATTATAAAACATGCAACAAAAGATAATAAAATATAGAGAAAAACTAAATGGAGCTTTAAGGATATCTCGCCCACCTTAGTGGCTGGTCCTGCCTCACCCCTCAACTGTGTGTACCTCCACAATGTGGAGGCCACTGCTTTAGAAATCCGGTTTTCAGCCAATGCTTTTGGCTGCAAATGCCTCCACTAGACTGACATTAGAGGGTCTGTGCAACATATTCTGGTGAGAGAGCCCCCAGGTTTCTCAAGATTTCCTGATATGGTTCTGTGAGCCATAAACGCTTCAGTCTCAGTTCTCTAGAGAATGAACAAAATTTCAGCAGTCTTTTTTTTTTAAAGATTTTTATTGGGGAATTGGGGGATGGGAACAGACAAGTTGCTGTCGTTTTTTGTTCTTCAGTCTAGTTGTGGAGGACGTTGCTTCACTGGCCCAAGTTGGCACCATCATTGCGCTCTTCCCGGGTGAGGCAGATCAGTCGCCGGCTTCTGGACGGCTGCTCACCTTGGCTGCTGGCCGCTAGCTACACACGGTAGCCTATGGCAACCCACTGCAGCAGGGGCTGCAGCCTACACCATCGCAGGCGACTCACGGCAGCCCAACTCCAGGTTGAGCTGTTGTTCAGCATCTTAGCTGTAGAGGGCAGTGTCACTGGCCCGCATATGTGGGATCCAAACCAGGGTCCTCTGGTGTCCCAAGCCAGCTCTTAACCAGTGCGCCACTCGGCTGGCCCAGTAGTCTTTTTTTTTTTAATTGAAAAAAAATTAACATTAACCATTAAAATTCACATTAAATTAACCATTTTAAAGAGAACAATTTGATGGCATTTAGTGCATTCCTAGTTTTCTGCAACTACCACCTCTATCTCATTCCAAACATTTTTGTTAACCTCACAAGCCCCCAAAACCTTGTACAGATTAAGTAGTTGCTGGCATTTTCCCTTTTCCCCAGTCCCTGGTAGCCAATAATCTACTTCTTGTCTCTGGATTTACCTATTCTAAATATTTCACTTCAACGGGATCATACAATATACGACCATGTGTGTCTGACTTTTTAAAATTAGCATCATGTTTTTGAGATTTATACATAGATTTTTACAACAATCACCACCACGACAATGATTAGGATTAGAATAATTAAAGAGCAACAAAACCCTGCTTTCCTATACTTGGGATTCTGGGCTACGCAGGAATAGACATTCTCACTTGAATGGGGGATCTGGATTCTAGTTTCCACACGGTGGTTGGTGTGTGCTCTCAGACTCGGAGCCCGTGTGGGCTCAGGAAACCAGGGGTTGGGCGGACCCTTTCTTTTCTCCACCCTGGCGTTCCTTATCACTGTGGCGCTACTCTCTGTGGCAGAAGGCTTAATGATGGGGGTCTCAGAGGTAGGTAAGCTTATTCTGGGAAGTGCTAAGGACTTTGGTGGCTGTGTGGTCAGACCTAACCCACTCTGAGCACAAAAGCCCTGCAGACAAGCCTCACAGTTGTCAACGTCATGTGGTCCTTCAAGATAGATATCTTTGACTGTAGGAATATCCTTCGGTAACTCAAATTTTTCTCTATAGCATTTCTTAAGAATTCGGAACACCAGGTTTGTCAGGATCCTTGCGATGTTCTGTTCCGTGAACTCAGGAATCTCAAATGGAGGCTGGCAGCACTTCCGACATCTCTGGGCAAAGATTCTCATCTTCACCTGGCCCTTGGGTTCCCTCTTACTCCAGTACATGTGGAAAAGGATGTGAACTTGGGAAGAGGCCCAACTGCGAAAGCACAAGGAGCACTGGAACCTGTGGAGACAGAAAAGACCCTCAGCTTGGCTCAATGTGGCCAAATTGTGGCTGCGCCAGAGGGAAGGAGCAACCAACAACATGGAGACGTGACGTGACTTAGGTCACGGATTAGGGGGGAAGATAGTACCAACCCCTTGTTTCTATCTCCGTTGTGCCACCAACATGCTGTGACCCACAGGTGTCTATCATGAAGATAGCATATCACAAGCTGTCAGAGCTGAAAGGGGTCTCGGACACCTTCAAGTCCAAGGTGATCATTTTAGAGACGAGCACACACTGGGAACTTGTCATGCTCAGAGACTCAGAGACTCCGTGGCATAAAGGGCAGGATGAGGACTCCAGGTTCCTGACTCCAAACCAAGGCTTCCTCAAGTGCAGAGTGAAGTGCGTCAAAGGCTACAAGTGCGGCACTAGCCGTTAAATCAGCTCCCAAGAATCTTGAACTGAAATCCACAAATGGATGCAAGTAGTGGGTGTTGGTGCCACAGTCTGAAAGTTTGTGTCCTCCTCAAACTCGCATGCCGAAATCCTAACGTCCAAGGTGATGGCATTAGAAGGCGGGGCCTTTGGGAGGTGATTCGGTCTTGAAAGTGAAGCCCTCATGAATGGGATAAGTGCCCTTATAAGAGACATCCCACAGAGCTCCGTAGGCCCTTCTGCCATCTTGAGGACACAATGAGTAGTCTGCGACACAGAAGAGGGCCCTCACCTGACTACCTGGCACCCTGATCTTGGACTTCCAGCCTCCAGAGCTGCGAGCAATTCATTTCTGTTGCTTATATGCTGTTCAGTCTGTGGGTTTGAAAATTTTTGTTTGTATCTGTCCCCAAAGACTAAGACAGGAAGTCATAGACCCATAGGTCAAGGAGAGACCTTAAAAGGTCCAATATCCTAGGGAAAAGCACTGCTTTGCTCTCAGTTGCCCAGGACCCCCCAGTCTGCCAGGATTACAGGGAGATCACATTGTCCAGACCTCTCTTCTTTGCCCCCCTCCAACCCAATTTATTGCTCAAAGTAGCCTGAAAAACTCCATATTCCTCATGTCCCTGGCCTCACACAAGATACAGGAGAATGACACTTCATCTCAGCAGGGAGGAGGGCAATTTTTTGAGCTATGATAATTGGACAAATACATGTCAGGACAGATGGAGAGAGAGAAGAAGGCAGAGAGGCACATGACAGCACCCAGAATAGGAGTTATGGGAACGTAGAGGGCTACAGCATGGCGGGGACATTTAGTGCTCAGCAAGTTATCCATGCCCTCCCTCCCATTTCTCAGCCCCTGTGCAGTTAGGTTGGGACCATGTGACCAGTTGGCTAATGGGATGTGGGCCGAAGTGATACATGCCACTTCCAGACCTGGCACAGAATCCCTTGGAAGGTCCTCCAGCTCTCTCCTTCTTTGCCTCAGTAACCTTGGGTCCATGTGTTAGGTTAAAGCACTGATATGTCAGGGTCTATTTGTTGCAGAAGTGAAGCCTAGCCTGGCCTTGCTTGATGCAGAGACACCTGGAGTCTGGGATGGTGACTAGGAGGGCGCTAGGAAGGAGTCAGTCGAGGTTTCCTTCCCGTGTCTTGATCCTAGCCCCCTCACAGGGTGAATGTGAGGATGAAATGAAGGGAATATGCTAAAGAGGTCTGACCACCATGAGTGAGATGACCTTGCTGGGGGTCATTCAGAGAGTCGATGGTGCAAAGGGGTCTGGGCCCAGTTCGTCTGAGCTGCAGTGCCCTGCCCCAACACTGGGTCATGCTGCTGTGTTCATGTGTCAGCTCAGAGTTCAAAGTTCTCAAAAAAAAAAAGCAAATGAGCTGAGACTTTGCTCAGATACTCCTGGTGCCAGCTCCTGTCTTGGGAAAACGGCAGGTTGCCAGGGGAGGAGAACTCTGTTTCTTTTTCCAAAACCGTCTCCCAGTGAGGGGGCAGTGGGCAGGCAACGAGCCCCTCTCCTCATCCTGGGATAGAGTTCCAGGACCCCACCCTCTGTGCAGGTGGGCAACACCCCCATCCTTGGCGCTCTGCTCTCCTACCTGGAAGAGAAGGCGAGACTCTGGATGATTTGGAAGGGTTCTACTTTTTAAAGATTCCATTAGCTCGGAGTAGAGAGGGTTCAGATGGCTGCGTGTGGCTCAGCCCTCTTTGTCCTCCGCCCTGTCCCTGAGGGGGTCTCCTCAGTGCACAGGGCCCCTCCCTCCTGGACCCCAAGGCAAGTTGCCTGTGCTTGATGAAATCGCGCCATTCCTCCTCTTCTCTTTGCCTCTCTGCTCTTCACCCTCACCTCCTGCAGCCTGATTTCTCTGTATCTAAGTGTTAGCCCACACCAGTGCCCAGTCCTGCTATTGTTTGGGGGTTCATTGTATTAAGGAAAACAATCTTAAGTGAAGATAAATGTTCTTGGGTGATGGGTACCTTACTTCCTCTAATCTTAAGTTTACAAACATGGAATGGAACAAGAAAAGTAACAAGTATACACAGTAAGGAAGAATTTTCTGATATGCATTCCATTGAATTCCCCACTCACCTGGCAAACACCCACTGCTGGTATTGTGTCCACCCTGGCTGCAGGTTGTTGGGAATGAGGTTTTCGTCTAGTTTCAGGGTCCATATGTGCCCTGGTTTCACCTCCTGGATTAATTCCTGAAACATTTGATTCCACACCTTCATGTGTTGATGCATCGTTGCTGCTGTGGTGGGCTCGGTGGATCAGGGTTTCCTGGGCTCTGTCTGGTCTCTAGCTCTTTAGAGAGCTCGGGCTCACGCCTGCTCACTTATGTGCCTGTGGACCAGGTGTTTGCCCAAGGACAAAGGTCAGTTGAGTCTGGCTCCACGTTCAGAGGAGACAGCACTGGGCTCCACAGGGAATTTCAAAAGACATAGAATGCATAATGTTATTTATGTAAATATTACTCAAGGAGAGCTTCAGACCCATGTCAGGAGGAGTGGATGTCAGTGTGGCTCTGCTGTTCCCTCCCCTTAGCCTGGAACACACCTTTTTACCTCCGAAGCCTCTGTAAAGAGTGGAGAGGGGCTGTGGTTGCTCTTTCTAATTCTAACATTTGAAAATCCTTCCCCAATGAGCTGCTGTGCTCATGATCCGGGAGGAGAGACACAAAGAAGGAAGTGGCCATCGTGGGCCCTCACTTGAGTCCTGTGTCCCTGCTCCCAGTTCTTTACTTCCCGTCTTGCACCCAGTCTCTGTAGGATGGTATTTCGCAGACACTGAATTGTCCAAGGTGATAGAAGCTGGTGCAGTCCTTGTGCCCAGGAGATGAGGCTATAAGGTCCCTGCGTGGGAGAGAGACCACTGGCTGTGCCCCAAGGGGCTTCACCATCCTCACGTCCTCAAGGAAAGGCTCAAGAATGAGTAAGGAGGCAGTCGCAGCAGGCAGGGTGGGCAAGACTCTGGGTGTCTGTGTCACGGGTCCCCAATCCACGGACAGCCAGACACCGACCTGTGTCAATGACTCCCTCCCAAGAGGAAGGCCCCAACCTCAGCGAGTCCTCCAGCCTGACAGCCCCATCTTAGTTTGGGCCACATAATAGCCTCTGTCTTGGCCTCCTGGCCCCTCCAGCTGCTCTAGCCAGCAGTCCTCCCCTAGTGCTGCTTAGTATGGCTTTTGGACCCCTCACAGGCCACCCTGGCCTTTCTATCAGCCTCAGCCCTGCCAAGCACATCCTCCTCCAAGCCTATACCCACCCCTACACCCTCAACTACAGCCCTCACTCCCGACCATCCTCTGAACACTCCTGCCCTCCCAGCCCTGTGCCTGTCCTCATGTCCGCCCCACTCCGAGCACCTGTGTTCTCACCTCACGTGGCTGCTGCTCACCTGCAAGTTCTAGGGCCCAAGCCCTGCATGCTCCGTAGTCCACCCCACCACCCTGCCGCCTCCTAACTGCTGCTGGAGAAAGAAACCTCCCCCTGCAGTTCCCGCATTCATCACAGAGCCAGTTCAGAGGAAGTGGTGACCAGAGAATTTGGAACAAAGGGTTTGTCTTACTTTCTGGCCTGGTGTGAAATCTTGTGGGAAAATGCCATAGCCTGTTCTGTTGAATTAAAACCGCCCTTGGAAGTAAGTAGTTGTGCATGGAGATCCTGAAAGATGGCATTTCTGCGCCATGTGAAGGGCACCTTTGGCCTCTTGCTCTGGTAAGAATATTCTAACTGAAAAACACTGCGTTCCTAAATGATGCAACTATTTGAACACAAGTGTTTTAAGAACGCAGGAAAGTTTGTCACATTTTAATTAACATAGGTGAACTGTCTTCCCTCTAAGTATCATGAGTATCATCATTGACCTGATTCTCCAGGAATTCTGGTTTTCTGGGGTGGTGACAGCAGATGCCATGTGTGGATGGAGAAGGGGCCACGTTTTACACCTGACAAGCTCAGACTGAAAATAACCACAGAGGATGGTGTGAACATAAACATTCCTAACTAGGTGGGCCATGGCGGGAAGTCACATCCCTGAGCTTCCTCATTAAGTTAATCTGTGCCTTTTCAGTGGGCCTGTTCTTTGTCTTTTTGTACGTAAAATAACATCTTTAATCCTTTTTCTGGACCAAAGCTGGAAACTGCAAAATTCCTCATTATCATGCTTGTCTCCTGATCACCATCTCTATGTGCTGGAAAGAGTGAACTGTTAGCTATCCTGCACTCACCTGCGTGGGAGGAGTACCTGTCTCTCTAATGTACTTTTATACAATCCCAAAGATTTTCCCGCTTTGCTTTCTCCCACCCCCTTAATCTATCACCGATGGATTTCATGTAACCTTTCTCCTTTAATTTTATGTATAAAATAAACTGCAAACTGCCATTTTGTGGAGCATTTTCTCAATCCGTGGAGATTTTGCTTCCTGGCAATTGTCAACAGTTTGGCTCAAATAAACTCTTAAAAGTTTTCTCTTAGGCTGGATATTTTTTGTCAACACATGCCTAGGGCAACGCACACAGCTGGGCAGGGCTGAAGCAAGCCGGATGTTCATATATGTCTCGAGCAGCCAGCCTCAGGGATCACAGCGACACTATTAGTCGCAGCTCCAGAAAGTCTCATTGAATTAGTCCCCGTGTGTCAGCATTTCTACAAAACTCCCCCAAGTGATTCTAACAGTGCTTATGGTGGAGGCCCCCCTAAAAGGTTAAAGGGAAGGGAAACCCAGGAGACCCTGATCAGCAGGAACACAGGAGGGAGAGAGACCCAGAGCCAGAGGTGTCGGTCCCCTTCCCCTCCGCAAGGCTGTGGCAGAAGTTGTTCTTGGGGAGCGTCAGTCCGAGGCTTGTCTGGTCACATCCACCAGCTGCGTCAGACACTGGCAGTCTGATCAGTGGGCCATGGGGAAGGGCAGAGGGCTCTAGAGGAAGTGGGAGGGGACAGAGTGGGTGGGAGTGAGGAAAGAGAGGGAGGGAGGAAAAGAAACGGAGTCAGGGGAAGGGAGGGCTTTGCAGGGGCAGCGCTGGGCAGGCTCTCCAAGCCACCCCCTTGCTGCCCCGATTGCCGGGCACCCAAGTTTAGCCCCTTCATGGGCGAGAGGGGGGCTTAACTGGAAGTCTGCCCTCCCCGCCTCCAATTTTGTCTCTCAGTTCTTCTTTGCTCAGATCATGAATTAGCTAGATTTGGGGAGCCCTCTTACTCTATAATATTTCTCTCTTTCAACCTCTTTCTCAGAGCTTTCCACCCATTGTCAACTTCAGGGCAGATTAAGAGATTTATAAAGGGAGTGAGGGAGCAGGGGAGAGAATCCGGGCTGGAAGTCAGGGGGGTCTTTGGTTCTGGGGTTCTGACGAGCTGTGTGACAGTGGACAAGTCACTCCAGGCTTTTTGAGGATGAAATGGTACCTGTCATGTGGAAGGATGCTAGGCATGCCTAGTGCAGAGAAGGGCCTGTAAGCCAGTGCTAGCCTCCCAAACTTGACAAAAACAATTTCCAGGATCTCGTTTGGAATACCTTGAACTCTCACAGAGACCCGTCCACTCTGGCAATGGATGTTCATAAACATAAATACGAGATTGCTTCACTGCCTCTTACCTGGCAGTGGCACGGCAAGGTTCTGTCGCTCCCTTCCTCGTGGGCAATGGTTGTGGCACGTCTCTCCACACTCATCTGCCAACCCAGAGTCCATTCTCCTTGGACAGGGTCAGGGCTTGGCTGGACACTCACCGTCACTCTGAACACTGGGCTGGATCCCAGGCCTGCTGCTGGGACCCGGCCATCGCTGAAAGTTTGAGACATGCACAGAGTGGCGAAAAATTTGAATCGCCCAATGCACACCTTCCCCAGCTGAGACTGAACAAGACAACACTCTCCCTTCTTGCTTCAGTTCTCACCCTGTAAACAAGAGTCCATTTCATGATCAATTTATGCCATGTGTTTCGAATTTTTGTGCTTTTTGTTGGTGATTTAATTGTTCAAAGTGGCCCCAGAACATAAAGTGCTGTCTCGTGTTCCTAAGCACAAGAAGGCTATGGGTTCATTGCTCCTCGGGGAAGTACAGAGTTAGGGAGGGCCCTGTGAGCCCCTGGTAACAACATTTTGGTTAACTGATCAATACACAACCTTATGTTATTTTTGATTAAAGACACTTTGTAGTATATACATTGTTGATTTATTAGCATTGAATGAAGCTTATCTAACATAACATATTTTCTCTGTAAGGCACATCACAGGCTCCTCGTGCCAAATTGCCTGGAATCTGGGGAATGGCGGTAAATTCCAGGAAACCCAGTCCACTCCATCCTCCGCTCAGTGCTTCCCAAGTCCTGTGCCAAAGGTGGTCTGGCCGCTTCTGGTGGTCCCTTAGTGTTCCTTTCCTTGCAATTTTCATGGGTCGCTCCCAGACAGCAGAGGGTCTGCCATCTCTGCATCGATCCCACAAGAGATAACCTGTGAGATGTCACAAAGGGCCGACAGACACCACTAGGAGTGTCAATCGTTTGTTCCTGATGTGATGGGTGAAGAGACATCAACAGACACCATTAAGATGTTCTTTCATTTATTCAAAAAATGTTAGTGTCAGTTTCTGTGTTCTAAGCACTAGGGGGGACTAAAACAAGGACTCTACCCTCACAGAGCTCACATTTTATTCAGATGGGAGAGACAGGCAAAGATCCAATAAACAAGCAAATGTGCACTGTAATGTCAGCCTGTGATGAGTGCAGTGGAGAAAAACAGCAGGGTGAGGGGCTAGAGAGAGGGACAGCATCAGGCAGTGAGGTAGGGACAGCTACTCTAAGTGGGCAGGTAGAAAAGGCTGCCCTGTGAGATGACATTGAACCAAGACCTGCCTGAAGTGAAGGAATGGGTCAAGTATAATACACAGGGGGTATGCGCATTCAGATGAGGGGGGGGCAGCCAGTGCAAATGCCCTGAGGTAGAAGTGGGCCTGGCATGTTTGAGGAGGAGCAGGGACACCAACGTGGCCAGGATCAAGTGAGAGGGAAGGAGTAGATGAAGTTGGAGAAGCAGCTGAGGGCCGCAGGGCCTTGTAGGATTTTATTCCAAGTGTGGTGGGGAACCACTGAAGAGTTCTGGGTAAGGGAGTGATAAAGCCTGATTACACATTGTGATCGCTATTGTCTGAGCGGTCTACTCAGGCTCTCTGCTGTCTTCCCATTGAGCTAGGGACAGAGCGGACTTGTCTAGTGGTGCTGAGGATGATTAGAACAGGTGCCAAATAGTTCCAAGTGTGAGAGCCCAATAAAGGAAGAGCTTAAGGGTTTTCTTTGAACTTGAATGTTAGTTTAATTTGAGTTTCAGATAACGAATAATATTTTTAGTATTAGTATTTTACATGAAAATTACTAACTACACAAGAAATTGATTGGCTGCTCATCAGACATTCAAATTTACCTGGTATCATGGTGTTTGTTTTCTTTTGCCAAATATGATTATTTTAGTTGGGGGACTTCATGTCCCTGGCTGTCAGCCCACTCAGGGCTATAGGCAGACCAGGTGGGCAGGACACTACAAATCTCCTGAGAATGCATGGGGCATGGGGGAGCTGGGCAGAGGGCTAGCAGTGAGGGTGAGCAGGCGAGCAGATGGGCAGGGGAGCAGGGGGGTGGTGCAGAAAGGGGGGCAGGGCATGCCCTCCTCTGCTGCAGCCCCAGTTCCTTGCTCTGCCTTCAGGGCCAAGGTCCCCTATTCGGAGAACATGTCAGGCATTTGAGAAGGGTCAAGTCCCCTCCATCTGAACTGTGTGTTGATGAGCTTAGATTCAAAAGCTGCATAACAGGAACAAATAATATTTCAAATTAAGTTTTAGGGTTTTTATCTTTCATCCCACAAAATATACTCCAAGCACCCTGGTGAAGGCAAAAGGAGAAGGCAAGGAAGAGCTGACCTGCAGTGGAGTGACCCTGGGCTGACTCAGCCTCCCCCAGGTCACCCCACAGTCTCACCGGTTACAGATTTAAGTGAGCGAAGCCAAGGATTAAAACATCTCCTCGACATTAATCCCACTCTTGCCTGAAATAGAGCATCTCCAGCTCCTGTAAATTGCCTTGACATTGTCTTTAAGGAGAACAATCTGAATATATGAATGTTCCACAAAACAATGAAAGAAACCATTTTTGTTTACAGTACAATTAAAAAAAAAGAACGATTAAACAGGGCTGAAGAAAAAGGATTTAGCCATATTCTTGGCTGATTGAAGGGAGAACAAAACACTGCAGAGGGAGTGAAAAGAGAGAGAGAAATAAGTGGGGATGGACCAGGACTTCACCACTGACACCCCCATTCACCTATTATGGGCTCCTGGAAAGTCATTCCAGTTTAATTCCCGATATATTCATTCATCCTCCTTTAAATCTGCAGTCACTCTTATGGTCCTAAATACGGCTAACATATCTCCTCTATTTAGACCATATTTTAAGGAACTAGGAATGAGTACCATTGAAAACCAAATTCAACTGAGTAAATTTTAAGGATCTCATTGACTTTATTCAACAATTTGTGATTCAGGCAGCATCCAACCTAGCAGATAGAAAGGAGCTCCCAGGAGCTGGAAAAATGAAAGACTTTTTTATAGGGCGGAGGGAGCAACAGCAAGGATGTTATATGAGGAAAACAGAAAGGAAAACAAAAAACCGGTTGGGTGTTGCCAGGTTACTTTCATTTCAGGGAAGGCAGAAGTTTATTAGGCTGATTACCTGACTAATGCTGATCAGGTGATTCCTGATTGACTAGTTTACGATTCCATTTCTGGGAGGG